AGTGAGCGCGAGCAGCTGCGTCTTGCGGTTCTTGCTGCCAATGCGCTTCCTCACCGCCCTCACCACGTCCTTCACTTGCCTGCCGCCGACGGGCGATGCGTGGAGGGATGGCAGGCACGGGGTGGGGGGATGGCAGGTGAGTAGTCGTCAAAGGGCGGGCTGTTTTAGGGATTGAACACGTCTCTCAAGTCACCCAGTGCTCGCGGTGAGCTTCCAGCTCACCCGGTGGTGGCGGTGAGCAGGTCGCACAGCTGCAAGTTGAGCGTCCAATCGGGGCTCCTTGATTAACGCAATCCACTACGAACTGCGTCAAAAGGGCGTTTTTTTAGATTAAACAAGTCGCTAGGCTCACCCGGTGCTGGCGTTGAGCAGGTCGCACAGCTGCAAGTTGAGCGTCCAATCGGGGCTCGTTGATTAACGCAATCCACTACGAACTGCGTCAAAAGGGCGTTTTTTTTTTTAGATTAAACAAGTCGCTAGGCTCACCCGGTGCTGGCGTTGAGCAGGTCGCACAGCTGCATGTTGAGCGTCCAATCAGGGCTCGCCAGCAGGTCGCTCGTCGCCTTGTCCACCAGCTGCACCGCCGTCGACTGCGACGACGAAAACATGGTTACCCGCTCGCTTGCTCGCTCGCTCGCTCGCTGCTGTAGCTACTGGGATGTAGACAGGGTCGACACGAAGAGAGAAAACGGAAGGAAGCTGCTCATCCTCGTCGCCTTGCCCACCAGCCGCGCCGCCATGGAGTGCGACGATGAAAACATCGCTCTCGCTCGTTTGCTTGCAGCTGTAGGAGACGGCGGGAGGTAAAGGTTCGAGACGAGGGAGAGAAAGGAAGGGAGACGTCAAAAGAGATCGCCTTGACCACCAGCTGCGCCGAAAGCGACTGCGACGGAGAAAACATGGCGCCTAACGTGTTAGCTTGCTGAGATAACAATGAAACTTGCGCGCTGGTAGGCATGCGCTCGCGTGCTGCTGGGACGCGGTCGGCAGGTTGGGGAAAGGGAATCATGAGACCAGAGAGAGGCGGGTGGGGTTATTATTATTATTATTATTTGAATTTCTTCTTGTAAGGTGGGGAAAGAGGAAGAACCGTTCGAAAAGGGAAGGGACCGCGGGGCGCGATGTGAAGAGCGGCGAATGGAGCGCATAAAATAGAGGCACCGATTCGCGGGGTCGGATGAACGAGCGCAACCTAGGATCGAAAAATAAGCCGCTAATTACAAAACAACTTACTACTCTGTTCAGGAGAAAAGGCCAGAAAGGAGGGCGCTATTATCTTACTCCCGCGAAATAGCGTCACGCGCCTGTCGCGCGAACTCTAAACGCGGTAGAAATAGGAACCTAGACGCCGCTCAAGCAGGCCTACTTGACACCTAATGCAAATGGAGCATCGTGCTATCCTCTAGAAGAGCGCCTGAGAAAGGCCGACTAGATTGGCGCACTGTGCAAGGCAAAGCACGGCAAATTAGCATAAATGCCCCGATATAAGGTGAGTGCTTGTTGCATCAGGCAGGCGAGGCGACACACAAGGGGGAGCTTGTAACGAGGGTTGCTCACACCCGCGGAAAATAGCTGTTTGAACCCTCCGAACCCTATCCAACCACTCGATAGCTGTTGACGAAACTGCCCTCCTGGTAAACCACCGCACCTGACCGTACTAGTTTGGACTCTTGACAGCGGCGGGCGGAGAATGGGCGCGGCGGGAACACAAGCTGTTGCAGCATACAGTACCCTTGTTTGGCGCCGCGGGGCGAGGTGTCTGATGGCGCAAATACAGCCGCGACACTGGAAAAGGAGTTGGGCGGGAGCATTATGGATGACGCTATATGCAGTCATGGATAACGCTATATGCAGTCATGAATAACGCTATATGCACACATGAAAGATTAATGGAACATAAGATAGTGCAATAAGCACTGGTACCTATGCCATATGCAATTTGGCATCACTTTCCGATCAAAGATTCCTACATGTACATGCATACGGCTGTCATTGCGAATTAAAAGGACTGGCTCATTTGTTGCTACTACATAAATCCATAGCATGCTCTTCTTGTCCCCCCTCCTCCGCCTCCCCCCACAAGTGTACCTCACTCTTGTCTCAATGCTAACTAGCCGCATTGAGCTTCTAGGCGGTACGACGCCGACTTGTCTGCTCTTCCATGCCATCACATCTCCATAGCACCTTCCCCGCCGTGCCCGCCTGATTTCTTCTTCCCCTTCTTTTTCCTTTTCTTCTTTTCCAAAGCCTGTTGAGCTTGCCTCGTTGCGAACTTGGTAGGGAGAGGGGGGGCTGCGACTGATGAGGGTAGTGTGTTGGAGAGATGCTGCTGAATGGCGGCAAATGGGTCGGCTTTGAAGGCGGGGTGAGAAAGCACTGCTGCCATTTGCTTGGTCTCCTCAACTCTGCAGTCAGTGGGAATGCAAGTACGGTGTGTATACAGTGAGATACACACACAAGATTATTATTGTTGATGCATAATAAGTCCGTTAAAAGAAAAACTTATGGATGCATGTCTCCACGCAAGGAAAGATGAACACTCACACAATCTTCCCGCGCTGCTTCGCTGACAGCAGCGAGTGGCGCTTGGCCGCCTCCTTGGTGAGAGTGAGTGCACCCTAAACCCTTAAGTGAACCCTGGCATCCGCCTGACACTTACAAACACAAGACGGGGTGCACAGTGCACACTCACACAATCTTCCCTCGCTGCTTTGCTGACAGCAGCGAGTGGCGCTTGTCTGCCTCCTTGGTGAGGGTGAGCGCATCTGGCAGGGCGTCCCCCAGCGCCGATGCAAGGGTGTCCAACGTGAGGCTTGTAGGGAGGTTGGAGACCGCTCCCTTCTTCTTTTTAGACGCCTTCTTGGTCTGTTGGGAAGGGAGCATCGGGAGGAAGCAAGTGCATGGAGCGTGGTGGAGGAAGAGAGAAGGGGATGACGGGGAGGAGGGAGGCAGAGAGAGAGTGAGTGTGTGTGAAAGAGAGTGAGAGAAAGACAGGGAAAAACGGAGACTGTGCATCTGAGTGAAGGTGCGTGTGTGTGTGAGTACCCAAGTAGCCAGAAAGGCGAGAGCGAAAGTGCCTAGCCTACACAAGCAGGTAACAGTTGGCTGCTTTGGTGGCTAGGACGGGCGGTGTCTGCTTGCATTGGCTACTGTAAAGGTGCTTGCAGCAATTAGCGCATGTAAGCTCCCATCCCATCGTACCTTTGAGTCTCCCCTAGCAGCAGCAATCAGCGTTTGCGTTCGTCTCAAATCTGGCACATGGAAAAACGAGGGCAAGGAGAAGAGAGGTCAGTAACAGAGGAGTCACATTGCGAGCAATTGAATAGTCAAGCCAAGTACACCACATACACGTTATCCCTGCTCCTGCTATAGTCACACTTCCTATAAACACTGTCCAGCAGTCACTTCAGCACCTGATGTCTCCCTACTGCTTATATGCACCCCTATAGCTCCTCACACACAATATCCCTGCTACAGTCACACCGCCTAGACTCACTGCCCAACAGCCTCATCTGCTTAGCAACTCCCTCCCGCACCTGATGTCTCCGGATTGCTAATATGCACCCTTATTGCTCCCCCAACATATTAACCCCATATAGTCACACCCCCTGTACTCACTGTCCATCAGTCTCATCTGCTTGGCGGCTCTCTTCTGCACTCGCCTGCTCTCTGTCACCTGAGCCCTGGAAACAGATGCATGGAGAAAAGGGTTAGAGGGATATGGCAAAAATGGGTCACTTTGGGTATTCAGGACTGTGGGGTTGGGAGATGATAAGTGAGGGGGGGAGGGAGGAGGAGACGTAGCATGATTCAGAATTGAAAAAGAAGGCACAGGCAGCTGTAGGGAGGAAGGAAGAGAGGCGTACCCTTCGTCCGCCCCTTCATTCTCCGCCTCTCTTCCTTCTGCAGACGCCGACGCGGCTGCAGCCGCTCTCCCTCCAGCGTCATCCGCTGAGCCCTGGCAATACGAAGAGAGCGGTTTTTTTTCTGTTTTCTTTTTAAGAATACTAAAACCGGTGGGGGACATAACTTCAACGTGCATGCAAACCTTTGCACCGCTTTGCTCTCTTTGGAAAGAAACAAGCGCGGCCATCATCGGTTGTTTGCACACCTTGGCGGTATCTGAGGGTGCAGCAGCGCGCTTGCTTCTCTTCTTCGCCATTCCCGCAACAGAAGCAGGAATAGCTTAGGCTCAGTGCTCGTGCTTGATGGCTGATGGCTGGGACAGAACTGGACGGCCAAGATGGCTGGTGACGACGAGGACCGACGGCTGAGATGAAATCCCTGTTGATCTTCAGGAGCAGGTTGACATGCGGGGAGCGGGGGGATGGGAGACGGGCGAAAATGGAGGGAAAGGGAGCAGACGGGAGTGGGAGAGGAAGAGGGGGAGAGGAGGAGGGGGAGAGGAACAAGGGAGAGGAGGGGGAGAGGAACAAGGGAGAGGAGGGGGAGAGGAACAAGGGAGAGGAGGGGGAGAGCAGAGGGTGTTAGAAGAGGGGGGGGGCAGAAGAGGGGAGGGCAAATAGGCGAAGCAAGGGGGGCGAGAGGGGCACGGGGGGAGGGAGAACCTGGAGGCGGAAGGGAGGGGGGAGAGTGGGATGGACTAGAGCCGAGAGGCAAGAGTGCCGACAGGCGAGAGGGCCGAGAGGCGTGGCGCAAAAGGTGCGTGGCGGGCGATGTGGGGAGGGCGCGTGTTACGGTACGGGCGACGGGGAAGGGGAGAGGGTGGGGGTTAAGGGATAGGGGAGGGGGCTGAGGGGAGAAGGGAGAGGAGCGGGGGATGCTTTTGAGTCGACTCAGAAGGGAGAAGGGAGAGGAGCGGCGGATGGAACAAGGCACTGAAGAGGGCGAGAGAGAGGAAGATAGAGGCGAGCAGCAGGGGGCAGGGGACGAGGCGCTCCGGCGGACGAGAGTCATTCAACTCGACGGACTAGAGGGAGGAGCGAGGAGGTCGATTTGAGTGACTCGGGCGGGAGGAGGAAGCGGCGGAAGAAGAGGCAGCAAGGGGCGAAGGCACGGATGGAGGCACGGATGGAGGCACGGATGGAGGCACGGATGGAGGCACGGGGAAGGACTCGCGACGGTCTGAGCCGAGATTCACGAAGGACGCGAGCGGCGATGATGCTTATGGTAGGCTACGAGTGTCATTCGGACCTGACGCGAATTTGATTTCCTTGGCTTGTCGGTGCGGCGGGAGCAGGCGCCGTCGGAAAGCGCCACTACGGAAGGCGCGAGAAGGATTCGTGTTTCGTGTTTTCAGGATTGCTGTTACCGGTATAAGGAGCGAGAAGGGAGAGTCGCCTGCAGGCGGTGTGATGGGGTACGATTGGTGAAGTATAAAATTCTGGGCTCAAGCAGAATGGGTTTTGTGGGGCTCTCTGCCTGGGGATGTCAATTCCTGCAAAGGTCTCAAAGGTTACTCGGTTACTTTGCGTAACCCTTGCAGCAAGAAAGCGAGGTACATTCGATTACTTAGGGTGTCTGTGCAATGGGGGTTCACTTCAAGATCCACCAATTCTAAAATTCTGGGAAAGTAACAGGGATTAAATAACACCATAGGCGGTATATCTTGATAGGTGCTCCGAATGTGGCATTACTACTGGTGGTGGGGCATATCCTGGGCTTCCAGTTACGAATACCGGTACTCACGGTGAGCGGTGCACAGCACAACCATGTATGGTACTATGGTTATGGTACAAGATTCACCTCTTGATAGAACATTGGTGGATGGATGTGCCACAGTGCCATGCAATGTGCACCATTGCATCATTGTTCAATGTACGCAAGCAAAAAGTTTCTCACGTCTTCCCAGAGGCATGGCCTGATACGACTACCGTGCTTTGAGGCAGCGTTTCCATTTCTACTCTCCAAGACAAATTCCTCCGACGGCCACCTTTCATCAACCCATTCTCTCAACGCACCGACTTCAGCATCCATGCGCCCGTATGGATCACTGCTGAGCGCTCTAAAGGGTGACTCGTTATAAGCCAAGAAGTCCCTCACTGGCCTCCGACCTATAGATTGTTCTAGCAGCTCATGTCCGCTTGCCTCCAATATAATCACGGCTCGCTCAGGCCACTGATGCTCAGTATTCCCTTTATTATCCCATTCCGTATCTCCTTCAATCCTCCGTCCTCCAAGCCTTTCACCGTTCTCTCTGTTCTTCGAACCTTCCCCAACCGGCCCACACCGAGCCTGCTGCTCAGCTTCGGTAATCCTCCAGCACAGCTCATCCAGCCAAACTGCCAGTGCGAGCACTGCCACCGGACCTCGGTACAAATGCAGGTCTAGCGACCAAACCGGGCCAGCCAGGCTTGGCACCGGCAGGCTCGGAGGAGTCGGATACGCTCCGAACCTCCGAGCCTCTTCCAGCACCCAGCAGGCTCGGTCGAGCCTGCCGAGCCTGCAGAGGGCTGCGGCGAGAGAGGCGAAGAGCGGGCGCATGGCGCGGGGGTGGGTACTGCCCTGGATGCTTCGGAGAAACTTGTTCAAGTCATGGAACAGGGCTGTCTCTTGAGCTGACAGAGTGTCAAGCCGTGTCTCGTGCTGCTGCTGCTGCTGTGTGCCTGCTCCCTGTAGACCCCTGCCTGCCGCCACTGCCGCCTGCCGCTCCTCACTTCCATCCTGCACACCTCTCCCCCTCCTCTCATCTCCCTGCACTGATCCCTCGGCCCACATCCCCCCCTCTGGCTGAAAGCCCCCCAGGAAGCGGACGAGGGGGCGGAGGCGACCGGCCTGCAGCGACCAGAGCCAGTTCAGCAGCAGATGGGATGCTGCTGCTGGGGCTGATGGGGCTGAGGCAGCAGCAGCAGGGGCAGGGGCAGCAGCAGCAGCAGCAGCAGCAGCAGCAGCAGCAGCAGCAGCAGCAGCAGCAGCAGCAGCAGCAGCAGCAGCAGCAGCAGCAGCAGCAGCAGAATCTGCTTGTGTTGGTGCCAGAGTTGCCGTTGTCGCTGCCTGTCCCTGTCCCTGTGTCTGTCTCTGTCCCTGTCCCTGCGACTGTGCCAGCAGCATCAGCAGAGCAGCAGCGCACACCGCCCCTGCACTCATCCCACACCCCTCCACCTCAAGCACTTCCTCTGCCGCCCCCTCCACCACCTCCCCATGCCCCCTCGCTGCCAGCATGGCACAGTATGTCGCCACATCAGCGCACATGCCCCGCCCGTGCATCTCATTCAAAAGTGCCTCGGCTCGATCCAAAGCTGGCGCAACAGCAGCAGCAGCAGCAGCAGCAGCAGCAGCAGCAGCAGCAGGGTCTTCAGCGGGAGCAGTACCAGTAGAAGCACAATCAATGGCCACAGCATCAGCACCACCAGCAGCACCAGTTACAACGTTGTCTTCAGCAGCAGCACCATCACCATCATCAGCCACAGCAAGGAAGGCATCGATGGCGGTTAAGTAACACTCCCTCTCCACCTCCCATGCTGCCTCCTCACCTTCGGAAACCCGCACGCTACTCCCTCCCATTAGAGCACCATCATCACCCACCATATCACGACCATCCCTCCCTCCATCTCTCTCCTCACGTCTCCCCCCATCTCTCCCCACCTCCCATCCTCGCCTTTCCCTTTCCTCCTCCCTGCCTTCACCCACTCTTCCTCCCCTCCCCGTCGCAACTAGGTCTTCGCTGTAATTACCACTGCCCTCCACGTTCCCCAACCTCCCCCCCACTTGCCGTGCAACTTCCAGCATCTCTCTCATTCTTCCCACCTCCCCTGCTGCTCCAAACGCATGTGCTGCTGCCACGTAAGCGCCAGCTGGCAGGCTCCGGATGGATCCATGCGGAGCCACGTAAGCACCAGCTGGCGCCGTGTCCAGCATGCCACGTCGCACAGCTCGCTGGAGCGCCGCCTCCATCCCCGCCACGTCAGCAGCCGCTGCGCAGGCTGAGAGGAGGGCGGCAATGGTCGTCTCGTTGCGGGCCACTCCGTGCCGAAGCATGTAGGCCATAACTCGCCGCACGCCGCCCGGAGAAGCCACTGCAGCATAGGCTTCAGCCACGGCGTTGCATGCAGATGAGGACAAAACGAGCCGGTGGTGGCGGCGGCGGCTTGTAGGAGGCTTCGGGAAAGAAGAAGGGGGAGTATGTTGAACGTGTCCCATGGTACCACCATCCATGCCACCATCAGTGCCACCATACCCATCACCCCTGTACCCATCAACACCATACCCAAAACCACCATACCCCTCACCTCCACTCACTCTAATCCCTGTGTCCATATCCTCCCCAGTCCACCCTCCTAACCCTCCCCCGCTTCCCCCCCACATGCCTCCCTCTCCTCCCCCCATTCCCGCCCCCCCCCTGCTCTCCCTGCCCACCCCCCTTCCGCCAGTCACCTCTCCCCATGCCCCTTCTCTTCCCATCATGACTCCCCCCATCCCCCCACTCCCCATCCCCCTCCCAACTCCGCCCCAAGCCGAATCTCTTTCCCCCAAAGGCCCCCCACCCATGGCGCCTCCCATGGTCTCTCCACCTCCCCCTCCTCCTGCCACACCCATCCCCATGCCAAGTGCCCCCACTCCCATGCCATATTCACTACTCCCCATGCCACCTGTTCTCATCCCTCGCATCTCCACACCATGCTCTCCCATCCCCATGGCCCGTGCGGCCATCCCCATGGCCTGAGCACCCATGAACAGTGCTTCCATGTGCGAGAGCATGCCTGCATGTGCGTATGCCTCTAGCACCGCCGACACCAGGGACATGCCGCCGCCACTCGCCCCCACCCATGCATGCAGGCGGGATGGGTCGGCCAAGGCAGGAGGGGCGAAAGAAGTGGGTGAGGGTGAAGAGGTGGTAACGAAAGGGGACTTGGTGTGAGACGAACGGGATGAAGAGGCGAATGAGGGAGAGGAGGGTGAGGAGGGAGAGCGGTTAGAGGGAGGAAAGTTTCTACAAGAAGTATCTGTGTCAGAAGGGTGCAGCTGCAGCAGGCACCACTCCATGTCTCGTATCTCCACCGCAGAGGCAAACGCCCCTGCTGCTGCAGCCAGCAGCCTGCTGCGTGCATTAGAATCAATGCCACTGCTGCTACCACTAACACTACCACTGCCACTGCCACTGCCACTGCTGCTGCTGCTGCTGCCGCCGCCGCCGCCGCTGCTGCTGCTGCTGCTGCTGCTGCTGCTGCTTGCAGGCGAGTTGGTTTCCTTCCGGGCAGCGAGGGGCATGGACTGCATCTGCTTCAGCAGGCGCAGGATTTGTTTCGGCTGCCCGGCGGAGCTGTATGCATCGGCAATGAGAGTGAACGTGGTGGTTGTGGGGCGCACCCCGATGGCCCTCATGAGGCGAAACACCTTCTCCATCTCGTCCACCATTCCGGCCTGCAGAGGGGTGTGTGGTAAGAAGAAACGCGTAACGGCATGGAAAGGTAAGTGGGGCAAGCAGGCAGTGTGAATGTGGTGGTTGTGGGGCGAAACTTATAAGTCCCAATCAGGCGAAACACCTTCTCCATCTCGTCTATCATTCCGGCCTGCAGAGGGGTGTGTGGTAAGGCGAGAAGCAGAATGGCAGGGAAAGGAAAGAAAGGCTAGCAGGCAGTGTGAATATGGTGGTTGTGGGGCGCAAGGGGGCGCAAACCAACCTCATGTGGCGAAACACCTTCTCGGACTCATCCATCTTGCCAGCTTGCCGTGGCACATGAGACAGAGGAGGTGACTCGCTCGCAGGTCACCTTCTCGGTCAATCCTCTGCCACGGCAAGCTGGCAAGTCACTCCTCTGCCACGGCAAGCTGGCAAGTCAGCTTGTCGTGGAACGTGAGGCAGAGGAGGTGACTTCCAAGCCAACTCAGAAGAGGGCTGACACAAGGTTCAAAGGGGCGCGTTGACGCTAGGGGGCGTGTGCCAACTTATCCTCCACCCCCCACCTTGTGTCACACACCTTCTCATGCTGGCAGGCACGAGTAACACTGCCACAACTCACCTGAGTGTGCAGTCCCAACAACAGTTGATCAAAGTGAGGTTACTAAGGCCAGGTATCCGAGCATCAGCAAACCTCCAGAGCGAGCCTCATCCCACCTGAGCGGATGTATTTGAGAGGGAGTTCAAACGAATCTGCGTGCAGCCAGACCCGCAACTTCACCAGGTGCAGCAGCGTGCGGTGCATGCGATCTAACACGGTGCTCCTGTTCCATCAAGCAACAGCAACAGCAACAGCAACAGCAGTGACAACCCACCTGAGCCAGGTACTTCAGAGGCAGCTCAAAGCTCTCTGCTTGCAGGCGGTACCGCATCTTCACCAGGTGCAGCAATGTGCGGTGCATACGGTCAAACATGGCCCTGCTGCGCTCCGCACCTCCTTTCCTCCCCCCTTGCTGCCCTTGCAGCCCTTGCTGCCGTTGCTGCCCTTGCTGCCCTTGCCCTACTCCTCCCTCATCTCCACTCCTCCTACCATCTGCACGCTTCCTGTCCTGCTGTCCCCCTCTGGCCTCCCTGCTGCCCGCGTGGCGCTGCCAGCACAGCAGCCCCTGGGAGCCGTAGGCGTCCATGAGCCCGTGGAAGGTGTGCACGTTGGGGGCCGTGCGGTACCTCGTCTGCATGTTCTCAAACACCGCCTCCATCTCTGGTAGCATTCCCGCCCTGTTTACAAGAGGGAGCAGTGTAAAGAGAGGGAGAGCAGCAAAGGTGTGCACGTTGGGGGCAGCGCTGTGGCCCGTACCCTGTCTCCATGTTCTCAATCACCGCCTCCATCTCCGGTAGCAGCCCGGGCCTGGTTATGGGAGAGAGGGGCACAATCAGAGAGACGGGCATGGTATGGGAGAGGGGCAGCAGCAAAGATGTGCACGTTGGGGGCAGTGCTGTGGCCCGTACCCTGTCTCCATGTTCTCAATCACCGCCTCCATCTCCGGTAGCAGCCCGGGCCTGGTTATGGGAGAGAGGGGCACAATCAGAGAGACGGGCATGGTATGGGAGAGGGGCAGCAGCAAAGGTGTGCACGTTGGGGGCCGTGCGGTATCCTGCCTGCATGCTCTCAAACACCGCCTCCATCACCAGTAGCAGCCCGGCCCTGCGAAATAGAGACAAAGAGAGATGGATAAGGGAGATGGATAAGGGGGATGGATAAAGGGTGCAAGAAAGTTGGTAAGACGCATCGACACCTCGATGGAAAGGACACATGAGGGTACTTTTCCTGTCCCGTCGAAGCATGTGAGACGTCTCAAAGCATCGAAGCATATGAGATGATAAGCACATCTTGCACAGACCCCACATTAGCTTTGAGACATCTCAAAATCAGTGCGTAAGTAGTTCAGCTTCAAGACGACTCGAAGCGTCGAAGCATGTGAGATGTCTCAAAGCGTGGAAGCATGAGACGAAAAGCACATCTTGCTCAGACTCCCCACATTCTCCCACCCACCCACCTGCCCACCTGCCAGCCAATGCCCTGAATGAGCCCAAGGAGGGTGCGGGGTTGAATGAAGGTGTGCACACGCAGCCTGAGCCCACACAGGGTCATCCTAAAGTTCTCCAAAATACTATGTGCTGCGTTGCATGCTACACTCCCTCTCACCTGCCAAACCCCCTGATAAGCCCCAGCCCCACGCTGGCCAGTTCAAAGAACTTCTCCACTGCGCATCACCTGCAGCAGCTGCCCCTCCTGTCCATTTTTTAGACTCCTATCATGCAGTTTTTATACAAAAAGGAGTTTTGTTGCATGGAAGGCTGGGCGTAACATTCACTTGTGCGCGCGAGGCTCCCGAAGCTACCAGTTGGCGAACCGTGACATTTACACGACATCACCTCGAGGACTGAGGACTTGACCCCAGGAACTTTCCAGGGTGTTCAGGATTGGCTGCCCAGATTTCAGCCTCGGTTGTTGCATGCCTAGATTTTGGTACTGTCGAGGGGTTTGTTGCTTAAGAGCTTCTCTTACTCGCCTGCATAGTTCCATTCTGCACTGATGAAGATGTTCTAGGGTCCTTACCTTAGACGTCGAGACATGTTTGCTTTAATATTTTGAATCGGAACTGAGCTCAATTTTCTGAGATCTCAGCTTTTCCACGGGCACTTAGTGTTTTCACTGTCAATCTTTTTGCTAAAAGTTTCACTTCCACTGCTGCTCACTTCTATCACGGCTAAGAACTTGTCCGCTGCGCATCAGCTGCAGCAGCTGCCCCTCCTTCCTGTCCATACATACATGTGTGTATGATGCACTATGTACCTCTCGGCACCTCCCTCTCCCATGTTGCTCTCACCTGCCGAACCCTCTGATGGGCCCGTTGAAGGTGCGCAGGTCGGGCCTGAGCCCCACGCTGGTCAGTTCAAAGAACTTGTCCACTGCGCATCAGCTGCAGCCTGCAGCTGCCCCTCCTGTCCATACATGTGTGTATGATGCACTATGTACCTCTCGGCACCTCCCTCTCCCGTGTTCCTCTCACCTGCCAAAGCCTCTGATGAGCCCGTTGAAGGTGCGCACGTCGGGCCTGAGCCCCACGCTGGCCATCTCAAAGAACTTGTCGCGCATCAGCTGCAGCTGCCCCGCCCGCCCGTACGCCTCGATCAGCGCGTTGAAGGGCGCGGCGTCCGGCAGCACGCCCCTGTGCGCCATGTCTGCCAGCAGATCCTCTGCTTCGGTGGTGCGACCCACAAGGCACAGAGCCTTAACTGCCGAACTGGTCAAGTAACAGGAGTTGGGGGGTGAAAGGTTGGTGGGAAGCAAGGGGGGCGTTGAAGGGCGTGGCGTCCGGCAGCACGCCCCGGTGCGCCATGTCCGCTACCAGGTCCTCTGCCTCGGTCGTACGGCCCACGAGGCACAGCGCCTTCACTGCCGACCTGGGGGACAGGGGGTGGGGTTGAACTTTTGAGGCGCCTCAAAAGTCACTGCCGACCTGGGGGACAGGGGGTGGGGTTGAACTTTTGAGGCGCCTCAAAAGTCACTGCCGACCTGGGGGACAGGGGGTGGGGGTGAACTTTTGAGGCGCCTCAAAAGTCACTGCCGACCTGGGGGACAGGGGGTGGGGTTGAACTTTTGAGGCGCCTCAAAAGTCACTGCCGACCTGGGGGACAGGGGGTGGGGGTGAAATTTTGAGGCGCCTCAAAAGTCACTGCCGACCTGGGGGACAGGGGGTGGGGGTGAACTTTTGAGGCGCCTCAAAAGTCACTGCCGACCTGGGGGACAGGGGGTGGGGTTGAACTTTTGAGGCGCCTCAAAAGTCACTGCCGACCTGGGGGACAGGGGGTGGGGTTGAACTTTTGAGGCGCCTCAAAAGTCACTGCCGACCTGGGGGACAGGGGGTGGGGGTGAACTTTTGAGGCGCCTCAAAAGTCACTGCCGACCTGGGGGACAGGGGGTGGGGTTGAACTTTTGAGGCGCCTCAAAAGTCACTGCCGACCTGGGGGACAGGGGGTGGGGGTGAACTTTTGAGGCGCCTCAAAAGTCACTGCCGACCTGGGGGACAGGGGGTGGGGGTGAAACGGGGGTGGTAGTCTTCATCTGGTGCAGCAGGGAGGGTGCTGCGTCTTTCTACAGGACTCAGAAAAGTCAGGAGGGGGGGTGGTAAGGGAGGGAGCGGGATACTGAAGGGAGTGGCGTCTGGCAGCACGCCCCTGTGCGCCATGCCCGCCCGCCAGTCACAGTATCCTGGCAATCACCCGTAGGCCATGGCGTCAGGCGCACAGCCCGGGTTGTCTTCATCTGGTGCAGCAGGGAGGGTGCTGCGTCTTTCTAGAGGACTCAGAATAGTCAGGAGTGCACAGGCGCCAGGTGCACAGGAAGTGTTGACAAAGAGCAGCAAGTGTTAACAAAGAGCAGCAAGTGTTGACAAAGAGCAGCAAGTGTTAACAAAGAGCAGCAAGTGTTGACAAAGGCAGCTCAACCATAAGCTATGGCGTCAGGCGCTCAGCCCGGGTTGTCTTCATCCGGTGCAGCAGGGCGAGCGCTGCAGTGCAGTGGCCCTTACACTCTTCAGACGCCTCAAAGGTATGCGAGAGTGCTTCACGCTCTACATCACACACACGGTTCTCCTCTCAAAGACCGGGGAAACTCACCCGTAGGCCATGGCGTCAGGCGCGCAGCCCCGGGTGGCGTTCATCTGGTGCAGCAGGGCGAGGGCGGCGGTGGCCTGGTGCCGGCGCCCATACGCCTCTATCATCGCCGCGTACACTGAGGGGGTGCGCCCACACGGCTTCAGACGGGGTAGACGCGCCAAATCTGCTGCTGCTGCTGCTGATGCTGCTGCTCTTGAAACCGCCACACCTGCAGCAGCGCCTTTCTTCTTCACCCGTCGCCTCCACCCCTTGCTCGTGCCCCACCTGTCCCCATCCGGATCATCATCGTCAGCATATCCTGGCGCCACCTCATCATCACCCTCATCCACGCCATCACCACTCGAATCATCATCACCACCACTACCATCATCCCAATCATTCTCACTCTCCCTCACGCCACCCCTCCCTCCTCCTCCCTCCCCACTCTTCCACCCAACGCCAAACCCCCCTGCCCCCACCAGCACGGCCATCCCCCCAGTCAGAGGCACGGCAGGCCCCCCATCCATAGAAGCAAAGAGCGCCGCAGCAGTGTCCGTGCGCCCGTTTCTCGATAGCACCCCTATCATCCGCGCATACAGCATCGCATCCGGCTCGAACCAGTGAGCGGTCCGGATGCACTCAAACGCCTCGATCGTACGGTCCACGTCGTTCCGACGCATGAGCTCGTTCAGAGCCCCCAGGACGCACTCGGGCCCGAAGCACTTGGCGTATTTCTTGAGCACGTGGTGCACCTTCCGCTCGCCCCCTGGCTCCAGCTTCCCCAGCTGCACCATCACCACGCCTACCTCCTTCGCTAGGGTTTCCTCCGACTTCTGTCCCCGCAGCCGCCGCGCCAGAGGCCGCTTTGGGGGGGTTTTCCCCGCTCCCCCCCGTCCCGCTCCGCTCATACCCGCTCCCCCCATCCCCCCTCCGCTTATCCCAGCTCCGCCAGCTCCACTGGCCCCGCCAGTACGCGCGCCAGCGGACCTCGTTCCGCCAGGGTCCCTGCCCCCGATCCCTGCGCCCATGGGTTCTTCCCCGTAACTCCCCCACCCATCCGCATCCGCGGATACCCTACGGGATGGGGGAGATTGGCGCTCGCTACGCGGAGAGCGGGAAGGGGATTGCTCCGCGGATGGTCCGCGCAATGGGGGGCGCTGTGATGGCGGAAAATGCGCTGACTTGCCATTCCGTGAATTGCGGTCGGTCAATGTTCCTGCGCCAATACTAGTCCGCACAGACCACAGTCCCCCCTCGTCGTCAACCTCTCTTCTTCCCCTCTCCCTTCCCCCGGCTCTTCCCTCGTACCATACTCCCCGATCTTCCCCCCATTGCCGCGTTCGTCCGGAATCTCCGCGCCAAGTCTCCCCGCTCCGCCCTTCCCCCGCTCCTCGCACTACCGCGGATGGTCGTCTCACTGCAGCTACGACGCGACTCCCGCTGCTAGAGAAAAGAGGCGAGAAACGAGGCAATCCGCGCGGGGAATGCGGGGAATGCGGGGAATGCGGGGAATGCGGGGGAAGCCATGGTCCGCGGCGAGAGAAGAACGGGGGAGGGGGAGCGTGACGAGGGCGGATGAGGCAGGAGGAGCGCGGAAGCAGGGCGGGGTGGGCCGAGATGGAGTACTGGAGAAGGGGATTCGAGGAGGTCATGTGGGAAGGCGCACGCGAGACGAGCAGCGTACCAGAGACGAGCTCTGATAGCTATGATGGTTATCGGTCACGTCTCTGGTTGGCAGGGCTGGGTTTAGGAGGGAGGTCCCATGGTGTACCCAATACAGTGTCTCTACCGGCTCGCTACGCATGCTATTCTTTGCTACTACAAAGAACAAAACATTTATTATAAAATTAGTATCCTGGTATGATTCTCAACTACTGGCTTTGAAAACCTATAGCAAGCATAAACTAATGCTGTATCCATGCAAGTGAGAAAGATTTATAAACTACAGAGCAAAGCAGCTGCACACACATACGAACACCATATTATTGTACAAACCTACTACCAGCACTGGCATCGTTCTACATTACACTTTGCCTCAAGCCCTAGACACACCACCTACACTTGTATCGTTCATGCACCGTCATTAAATCTTGTCACGCACCTTCACTCTTCCACGCACCCATTCCCATGAAATAATTTCAGGGGCTAGAAGTCACACGTGGTGTACTTGCCCCTTCCTCCTCAGACCCCTAGTCACGCATCTTCACTCTTCCAGGCTCCCCTCCCCCTGAAATAATCCCACGGGCTCGACGGAACGCGGGGTGTACTCGTAACCGACGACACTCCAGTACCCCTAGGAGTGCCCATAGGATGGGGGGCGGTGCCCGGGCGAGGGGGAGCATGAGAGAGCGAGGCCGACCGGGCAATGGAGGATGTGGAGGGGGACACCGGCACGCGGGGGGAGGCGTTGCGGGGAGTGTTGGAGGCGGGAGTGGGGGTTGGGGGGGGCATGGAGGTGAGGGGGAGGAGGAAGTGGAAGGTGGCGTCTTCTTGGAGCTCGGGGGGAGGCTCTACCTCGTCCAGGTTTATCTCGGGCAGGCTGTGCACGATCTCGTCTGTGGTGAAGGGGATGCTGTGATGGGGGAAGAATGGGAGGGAGGAGGAAGAAGAGGATGAGAGGAAAGTGTAGAGGAGATGGTAGCAGTCAGGAGGAGCACCTTCCTCCATTCAGCTCAGAGAGCTGAGTGAAGATTTGCAGGAGAACGGATGGAGGCTATGCGAGCGGGATGAAAGGGTGTCTTATATGAACGAACCGACACACATTTGCTCTGTGACACTAAGATCCACACCCTTGGTGCCCCAGCATTCAGCATTCACACCATACCATGGCATCCCACTCACTAGTACCCTCGTAATTGCACTCATGGGATATAAGTTTCTTTTTGAGTCGACTCAAAACGAAACTTATATCACCCAGAATTCACACCATGCCATGGCATCCCACTCACTAGTACCCTCGTATTTGCACTCACCCTTCACTGTCTCTCAGCAGCATGGGGCTGTCATCCACCATCTGGCTCCACATCTGCTCGGTGACGCTGGGGTCCACGCCCTTGGTGCCGTACTTGTCGTCCTCGTACCAGATGCACATGTGCACCAGCTGGTTCATGCTCAGGTCGGGGCACAGCATCTGCAGCTCCTCGAGTGTCCTGCGTGGCTTGTGATCGAGAGTCTGAGTAAGGGAGGAGACAAGGAGAAGCAATGTTGAGATGAGTGCATCCCGTGTGGTCCTCGTATCGTACCAGATGCACATGTGCACCAGCTGGTTCATGCTAAAATCAGGACACCGCATCTGGAGCTCCTCAAGGGTACTCCTCGGCTTGTGATCCAGTGTCTGTTGAATGGGGGGAGAAATGAGGGGAGGAACAAGCGGAAACAACGGTGCTGACTCTGCAGTCACGTGCCATCTGCCAAACCAGATGCAGATGCGCACCAGCTGGCCCGTGCACCACTCACCAGGAACAGAATCGCCTGCTGCAGGTGCCTCAGCTCCGTCCTGAGCAGCTCTCTCTCCCCCCCCCCAGCATCTTCCGCAGCTGCACCTCCACGCCGTGCACCCACTGCTGCTGTGTTACCATTCTGCCACACACACACACACACACACACACACATGCTAACTACTTGCTACTCACCAGGAAGAGAATAGCCTGCTGCAGGTGCCGCAGCTCCTTCCTCAGCGGTTCCCTTTCCCCCCCCAGCACCTCCCTCAGCTGCACCTCCACATCGTGCACCCACTGCTCCAGGCGGCTGAGCCCCTCCTCCATGAGCTCGCCGTTGCTGTACGTGCACGGGCACCACTGCGACCGCACCATGAGTCTGTGGGTGGGGCGAGGGGGAAAATAGACCTAAGATGGGTGGCCTTCCATCCATCACTCTTCTCCAAGCGGCTGAGCCCCTCCTCCATGAGCTCGCCGTTGCTGTACGTGCACGGGCACCACTGCGACCGCACCATCAGACTGCCAGGGGGAAGGGCAGGGCGAGCGGAGAGGAGGAAACAACCAACTGTTGGTTGACCCTCTTCGTTCTGCACCCACTGCTCCAGGTGACTTTGTCCTTCTTCCATGAGCTTGCCGTTGCTGTACGTGCATGCATGTGCCTGGACACCACTGTGACCGCGCCCTCAGGCTGCTAAGGGTTGAATCGGGACGATGGGATAGGCATGTGACCAGCAGTTTGCACCTTGCTCAGTGATACCCGCCCTCTGCACTGCTCCCAGCGACTCACAGAGACTAGCAGCTGCCCTCTCCCATTCAACATCTTAACATTAGCTTACACCACACACACGCTACAGTCACCGTTGAGTATCTTCACATCAACATAAAATCAGAAGCTACACTCACCCGTTAAATATCTTCACATTGACGTAGAACAGCAGCTGGCGGATAAGTGCATCCAGCAGGGCAGCCGGCACGTGATTGGCCACGAGGTTCCCAATGATGTGCCTCAGGGTGATGACCACATTGGTCCAGTACGACATGATGTGCTTCCGCATGGCCGTCGCCGCGTTGCGCTGCGGCGGCCTGCCTCCTCTCCCCCGGCTCCTCGACCCTACCGGCGGCATCCCGGCTTCTCCCTCCTCTCCTGCTTCGGCCTCTGCTCCTCCTCGTGCCTGCAGCGGAGAAAAGTAGGGAGTGAAGCAGAGAGGTGAGACGGTGATTACCACGTTGGATGTGTTTCCTCATGGCTGTAGCCGCGTTGCTCTGAGGCGGCCTGCCTCCTTCTCCCCTCCCTCTCGACCCTGCTGGTGGCATCCTGGCTTCTCCCTCCTCTCCTGCTTCCGCTTCTGCCGCCCGTGCCTGCAGGGGTGAATGCAGAGCGGAGGTACGGAGTGAAGCAGGGGGGGTCACGGCACAGAGAGAGGGGTGAGAGGGTGATCACCACGTTGGTGCAGTGCGACATGATGTGCTTCCGCATGGGTGTAGCCGCGTTGCGCTGAGGCGGCCTGCTCCCCTGCGCCCCCCCCTCCCTCTCGCCCCGGTTGGTGAGACCCCGGGGTCTCCCTCCTCTCCTGCTTCAGCCTCTGCCGCTCGTTCCTGCAGTGGGGAAAGCGGGGTAGGGAGGGAGGAAGTGGGGGGACACGGTGGAGAGGGGTTCGAGAGGGGAGCAATGGGGTGATCAGAGGTCAGCACGCTCGTCCAGTATGACATGACGTGCTTCCACATCGCTGTCAGTCACTGTCACTGTCACTGCATTGCATTGCATTGTGCTGCGGCTGCCTCCCTCCCTCCCCCCCCACCCCCCCCCTCTCTGGCTCGCCCAGGCTGGTGGAATTCCTCCATTTTCTGCTGCTGCCTCTCCTCCTCTCCTCTCCTCTCCTCTCCTCTTCTCTCCTCTCCTCTCCTCTTCTCTCCTCTCCTCTCCTCTCCTCCTGCTTGTGCTTCTGTCTGCTGTGTCTGTGGCGGTGGAGGAGCATTCAGCAGGTGTGCATCAGGATTCAGGACCTGTCTATCCCTGTGTTTCTGTGTCAACTGCAACACACCAACCCGCCCACCCACCAACCAGCTCACCTGGGGGTTGAAGTGCATGGCTATCTCCGTCTTGGCGCTGCTGTCCCTTATGGTCACACACAGCCGCTCGATGCCCATGTCTTGAGAGAGTCTACCCACATGGGATCCACCCAGGAGGTGCAAACCCGCCCACCCACCAAGCAGCTCACCTGGGAGTTGAAGTGGACATCAATCTCTGTCTTAGTGCTGCTCCTGATCGTCACATACAGCCGCTCCATGCCCGTGTCTTGTGAGTCTACTCACTCACTAACTACCCTCCCTCCCAGCAGGTGCAAGGCCACCCACCCACCAAGCAGCTCACCTGGGGGTTGAAGTGCACAGCGATCTCCGTCTTGGCGCTGTCTCTTATTGTCACGTACAGCCGCTCGATGCCCGTCGCCAGCTGCTGCTTGAACAGCATCAGGTCCACCTGCTGCGCCGCCACGTTGGGCCGGGGCTGCAGCGGGAAACAGGGGGGAGGGTATGAGAAGTACGAAGGAAGTGTAAGCGGGATGGCGCCCTGCATCTGGCTCTCACTCTCTGCTTCAACAGCATCAGAGCATCACACCCACCAGCTGCTTCAACAGCATCACACCCACCTGCCGGGCCGCCACGTTGGGCTGGGGGGAAGAGGAAGGGGTTGGGAAGGAGGAGTAAAATACTTAAATCCGAGCCACAAGGGATTAGCACATCACACTTTATTGTCACCAGGCAGCCCCACATCTCACCTCACAGCACCACATCTCACCCGACGGTACCGCACTGCATCTCACCGGAGTGGGGGGACGGGCGCCGAAGAAGCCAAAAGTGGTGACTCGCTCCAACTTCGGCTTTTCCGCTGGCACCTTGTACACCACCTGCAAAGGGAGGAGGGGAGAGGGGGGGAAGGCGGGGTAAACAGCGTAGGTGAGTGTGCAAGGGCAGCTGCTTTGCCCTCTCCTCTAGCGCCTTGGACACCACCTGAAAGGGGACGAGGGAAGGTGGGGGTGAATGGCATGGGTGAGCGGTGGCAGATTCTGAGCCCACTCCAAGGAAGGTGGGGGGTTGGGGTAAACGGGAGAGGTGGGGAGTGGGGGCAGTCGCTTCGCCCTCTCCACTGGTGGCTTGGTTGGACACCACCAGAAAGGGGAGGAAGTGGGGGGAAGGGGAGGGATGGGAACGGCAGAGGTGGCTCCGCCCTCTCCACTGGCCATGTGGTTGCTGAGTGAGTAGCTGAGCGTGCTCATGCCATTGGACCCATGTACCACCTATATACCTTACTCCTATGGCCGCCTCCCTCAGCAGCCACCTGCACCAGGTGCAGCCGCACAACACCAAGAGGTTGCTGAGCCAGTAGCTCAAGGGGTGGTGTGCTCTTGTCATCGGTAACACCTACCTGTGTAATACCTCCCCCATATCCTCCCTCCCTGAATACCCACCTGCACGAGGTACAGCAGCACCACGTGGTTGCTGAGCCAGTAGCTGAGCGTGCTCATGTCGTCCGAGCGTGACACCATCTGGAACGTCTCGATGATGCGGTCAAACGTGTTGGTCTTCTCCGCCTGAAACGTGCGCCAGTGCAGCAGCGACTTGAACACCACGCACGCTGCCACCGGCTGGCCCTGCGGGCCGAACGTGAAGCGGCTGACAGCAATCTCGTTCAGAAGCACCTCCTGTTGGGATGCAGGGGGAGAGTGCACCACACGGGGGGAAAGGCACAGGAGGAACAAGGTGCAGAGGATGGGGGGGGGGGGGCGAAAGGATGCAGAGGGAGTGTGCGAGTGCGAGTGAGAGCAGATGGAAAGAACTGGGAGGGGAGGGCCAAACAAGCGAGGCCATTCCATACCTGCTGTTTGTCGATGGGCATGGCAGGCGTGGCGTTGGCGACACTGGCTTGGAAGGCGATCAGCCTCTGACTCAACGTGCGCACCTCCCGCGATTTGCTGCAGAGAACAGGATGATTGGGGCAGGGCGGGTTGGGGGGGGGGTGGGAGGTGAGAATAGGAACGTGGGATCCACACAGCATCAGCACCGAAACCTAGAACATACACCCCGAAGAAACCTGAAAAGCAGTTCCAACCCAAATTTCTGAAGAGAGCAGCCCTTCAAACCAGACATGGCGCTCACCCCAGCAGCTGCCCCTTGCATTTTTCCAGCGCCTCTCTCACCGCATCCCCCCCCCTCCCTCACCACCACGTTTCGTTCCACCTCCTCCGCCCTCGCCCTCTCACACACACATACCCAACCACCTTCTAAGACGAAAGCACCATCACTCACCCCAGCGCCCTCACTCACCCTAGCACCCTCACTCACCCCAGCGCCCTCACTCACCCCAGCACCCTCACTCACCCCAGCACCCTCACTCACCCCAGCGCCCTCACTCACCCCAGCGCCCTCACTCACCCCAGCACCCTCACTCACCCCAGCGCCCTCACTCACCCCAGCACCATCACTCACCCCAGCGCCCTCACTCACCCCAGCACCATCACTCACCCCAGCGCCCTCACTCACCCCAGCGCCCTCACTCACCCCAGCAGCTTCTCCTGCAGCTCGTGGCAGCGGGCCAGCGCCTCCCGCATCTCCTCCTCCCTCGCCACCACGTTTCTCTCCGCCTCCTCGGCCCGTGCCCTCTCCGCTCCTGCCAGTGCTGCCGCCACCTCCGCCTTGTGCACCGCCTCCTTGTAGGCTGAACGCAGCCAGTTGTTCTCCTCACGCATCTAAGTCGGGGGGGGGGGGGCGAGTGGGGGTGGGGAGAAGGGGTTTAGGGGATGTAGGATGGATGGTACAGAGGCAAGTGCTGCCGCCACCTCGGCCTTGTGCACCGCCTCCTTGTCGGATAAAGGGCGCCAGTTGTTCTCCTCACGCATCTGAGGGTTTGGGGGAGGTGAGTGGATGTAGGATGGATGGGGCATGGAATGTGTTATGAGGTGAGTGGATGTAGGATGGATGGGGCATGGAATGTGTTATGAGGTAAGTGCTGCCACCTCTGCCGTGTGCACTGCCTCCTTGTAGGCTGACTGCGGCCAGTTGTTCTCCTCCCGTCCCGCATGTGGACCAAGTGAGGGACAGGATGAGAGATGCACAGTGGATATGCAGGAGTGGTAGGTGTATGTATGGATATATGGCGAATGCACCCTCTAGACTGTGTCTCTTTCAACTCACCTTCTGGGCGATCTCCACCTCGCGCTGCATGCTCGCGAGGATCTTATCAAAGTTGCTCGCCGAAAACGTCAAACTCTTTCCCCTCGGCGTCCCCGCCGCGCTCCCTCCAGGCGTGGGCGGGGTCCCCATCCCCATGCCCACGCCCATCGCTCCTCTCGGCGACGCCTCACTCGCGCGAGCCGATCTCGACCCCACTCCCCCCAGCTTCCTCCCGCTCCAGGACCCCTCGTCCCCGCGCCCCACCCGCTGGCCACCCTCCAACTCCCGCGCAGGCGACCCCCGGAACGAGCTGCTCCCGTGCCGCCCAAACTCCCTCCCTCCCGCCCCCCCTCCCGCTCCCCCGGACACCCTCCTGTGTCTCTCCGAGCTAAGCGGCCCCCTATCCGCGCTCAAGGGGCCTCTGTCCTGCTCTGCTCCTGATTGGTCGTGCTCGTTTTCGTCGAAGGGGATCTGCCAGCCAGAGCCGGAGGAGGAGGCGGCACGCGGACGCATGGGGCGCTTGCTGCCGTCGCTGGGAGGCAGAGGGGCGCCCCCTCCTGGCCCCCCGCTTGTCCCTGCTGCACCTGCTGCTGCTGCAGTGCCACTAGTGGTGGTGCCGGCGCCCACATCCAGAGTGAGCCGCTCGCGAATGGTGTTAGCACCTTCTGACAGCGGCGACACAGGCCGCGGCTTCCCTCCCTTCTGCTCTCCCCCTGCTGCTGCTGCTGCTGCTGCTGTCCCTGCCTCCCCCTTCCCTCCCTGTGTCTCCTCCTGACCCTTCTCCTGCGCCTGCTGCTCCTCCCCATCCTTTCCTCCTCTCGCTCCTCCCTCTTCCTCCTCCTCCGACAATGCCGCCTCGCTCCTTGCAGATCTCTCCAGGATAGGAGGCAGGAAGTGGTTGGCAAGCGTTGTCCTTTCCTCCTCGCCTTCCCCGCCCACCACAACACACTCCTTGTCCCTCCCCTCGTCCACTGCCACCTCTTTCACTTCCTCCTCCTCTCCCTCCTCCCGTCCATCCTCCCCTTGCGCCCCCAAATCTTGCACAGGGGCTCTTGCCTCAACTTCCTTGGTATCACCAACAGCAGCAGCAGCACTCGCAGTAGCTGCATGGGTTTTTCTGGGTGAGAGGACGGAGGGTGGTGGTCGGCGGGGGGACGGAGAAACGGGGGAGCGGAGAGCCGATGGTGAGACGGGTATCCCTCCTGCTGTGCCCACATTCCCCCCACACCTAGCACAGAGCACAGGTCCTGTGTGGATCACTGCAGCCACTGCTGCCGTTGCTGCCGCTGCTGCTGCTGCTGCTGAAGTGGGTGCTGACGCTGCAGCCAATGTTGAGGCTTCGGTTGCTGCTGCTGCTTGAGCTCCTCCTGCCTCGTCTCTCGCCGCTGCACTCTCTGCTGCTTCGGACCCTCCCACCACCCCATCAACTGCCGCCACTGCTGCTGCTGCTGCCTCGGCTGCTGCACCTGCAGACACCCTAGCCTCTTCCCTAACAGCAACCCCATCACCACCAGCACCAGCATCTGTCGCCTGTCCGAGCACGTCTGGCAGCACGGTCAGCTCCTTCATTTTAGCCACATGCTCGCGCTGCTCCTCGCGCTGCTCGTCCCTCTCAGCCACCATCTCCTGCACCTCCGCCTCGGCCGCCTCCACCCGCGCCTGCTCTGCCTCCAGCATCTCCTGCAGCCGTGCTATCTCCCGCCCGCGAGCCGCTATTTCCTTTCCGCGCCGCTCCACCTCCTCCCTTGCTTCCACCAGCTGGCGCTCCAACGCCTGCCGCCCCTTCTCTGCCTTGTCCTGGTGTAGGGGAGGGTGGGAAAGGAGGAAGGGGGGAGAGATAGAGGGAGAGTGAAGCGGAAAATGTATAAGCGGCAAGCACATGCACATAACGCGCTTTCCCCCTGCCTCGAGCTGCTGCTATCTCCTTTTCCCGCCTCTCCAGCTCGCCTCTTGCTTCCGCCAGCTGGCGCTCCAATGCCTGCCGCCCCTTCTCTGCCTTGTCCTGGAGTCGGGGTTTGGGAAAGATATTGGAATGCCTAAGGGGTGGGGAGGGGAACATAGAGGAAGGAAGGAGTGATGGCCACCCCTCTGTCGCCATGGCTGTCCCTCTGTCGCCATGGCTGTCCCTCTGTCGCCATGGCTGTCCCTCTGTCGCCATGGCTGTCCCTCTGTCGCCATGGCTGTCCCTCTGTCGCCATGGCTGTCCCTCTGTCGCCATGGCTGTCCCTCTGTCGCCATGGCTGTCCCTCTGTCGCCATGGCTGTCCCTCTGTCGCCATGGCTGTCCCTCTGTCGCCATGGCTGTCGCTCTGTCTACCCCCCCATGAGGGACAGCCATGGTGACAAGTTTTATACCATCGCACCCATGTATAAAACCTGCACCCATATAGTCACACTCACCCGCTGCACCCACATAGTCACTCACCCTCTACACCCATATAGTCACACACTCACCCACTGCAACCGCAGCACCATCATGCGGATCGTATCCATGGCCACCTCCGTCTTCTTGCGCGGTGGTGTGCTAGGCTCATACATTCACACTCCCCCCCCCCTCCACCCCCCTTACAGTCACACTCACCCGCTGCACCCGCAGCACCATCATGCGGATCGTATCCATGGCCACCTCTGTTTTCTTGCGCGGTGGCGCCAGCTCAGCAACGCGAGCCGCCTCCTGCGATTGGTGGAAAAGGAAGGGAGGGGAGGAAAACGAGGTGCAGTGCAGGGATGTGCACACGGCTGTGTGAAAAGCGGGCCGAGACCAAGGAGACAAGTGAGGAGGGGAGAAGTTGGACAGGAGTGAGTGCGGGATGAGTGAGGGAGTTGAGGAGTGAGGGAGTTGAGGTGGGTAAGCTGCTGGTAGTCCGAAGAGTGAGAAGGAGGAATGAGCGACAACGGGGGGCTGGGGTGGGGAGGGCAAGGGGAGAGGAAGGACAGGGGGAAGGTTGCATGCATACGGCGAGGTTGGGGAGGGGAGTGTAGGAGAGGGAGATGGAGGAGAGGAAGGTGGAGGAGAGGGAGGTGGAGGAGAGGGAGGTGGAGGATAGGGAGGTGGAGGAGAGGGAGGTGGGGGAAGGGAGGTGGAGGAAGGGAGGTGGAGGAAGGGAGGTGGAGGAGCACGGTGGAGGAAGGGAGGGGGGAGGATAGCGCCAGCCAGGCCCTACACTACACTGATGGAAGCAGCAATTTCGGCATTTCGAGTCGACTCAAAAGCCATTTCGAGTCGACTCAAAAGCCATATCGAGTCGACTCAAAAGCCATTTCGAGTCGACTCAAAAGCCATTTCGAGTCGACTCAAAAGTCATTTCGAGTCGACTCAAAAGCCAGGCCCTACACTGATGGAAGCAGCAGTTTCGGCATTTCCAGGTGCTTCCAACTATCGGCACCCGCTCACCTCCTTGAGGTTCTTGTATCGCAGCCTAGCCAGCCGTGCAAAGAAGTACTGCCTCAAGGCCTTCCAGGGCTTGCGAGCCACGTAGCCGCGCCAGTGACTCTGGGGGCGGGCAGGGGGGAAAAGGTTTCAGGAGAGAGAGGGCGTTGGGGCGGGGGGGAGGGGGGAGGGAGGGGGGGCGAGGGCAGGGAGAGAAGAATAACAGGGACATAGGATGCAGTGCGCGTTTGAGTCGACTCAAAGGCAGGGTGAGCATCCTGCCGGGCAAAATGAGCTGCTGGGCAGGTTGGTAGCGGGCAGGTTGTCGCGCATGTCGAGGTAGCGGGTGTGGTACAGGTGCATGCGGCACTTGGCCTGGATCGTCACTGCTGCTCAGCAAACAAAGCCACACACTCCAAACCCAAAACTCCTAACCCTAACCCTAACCCTAACCCTAACCCTAGCAGCACCCACCTGGATGTTGGTAGCAGCCAGGTTGTCGCGCATGGTGAGGTAGCGGGTGCGGTAGAGGTGCATGCGGTACTTGGCCTGGATCGTCACTGCTGCCCGCCGCAGCGTGAGGAACTGCAGGCGCTGCTGCCGCCCACGCTCCATCCTCTGGATGCACGTCGCTGCCAGACGACGGCGCAGGTGATGCACAAACAGCCGTGCCGTGTAGGCTGGGAGGCACAGGGGGGAGAAGGGGGAGGGGGAGGGGAGACAGTGAGATGGTAGGTGATTGGGAATTGCAGCCGCTGCTGCCGGCCGCCCTCCATCCCCTCGATGCACGTAGCTGCCAGGCGCCCTTGCAGGTGATACACAAAAAGACGAGCCGTGTAGGCTGGAGCACGGGAAGGGAAGGGAAGAGAAGGGAAGGGAAGGGAAGGGAACGAAAAGGAGGAATGTGTGAGTACTCTCAGCCGCTGCTGCCGCCCCCGCTCCCTCCTGGGGAAGCGTGTTGGTGCCAGGCGAAACGCAGTGCAGGCAGCAGGCGCATCAAGAAAGGGAAGGGAGAGGAGCAACGGTGTGCCTGGACTTGTGGACGCATCCACACATGACGACCAACACACGGATGCACCACCAGCACGGGACGGTATAAGCGGGTCCCACCAAAACGATGCACTAACAGCACGGCCAGCACAGGCACGTCATACCAGTAGCATCGTAAACGCAGTGGCCAACCAAACTCACCTCGCCAGAACTTCTGGATACAGAGGGCAGCACGCTCGCGTGGTGGAGGCGGAAGGGAAACGTCCAGAGCACCGCACAAGAAACCTGTAAACCGCACAAGAAACCTGTAAACCGCGAGTACAGAGCACAAACTCACCCCTCCAGAACTTCTGGATGCAGAGGGCGGCACGCGCGCGGTGCATGCGGAAGAGGAAGCGGCGGGTGGCGCGCTGAATGCGGGCGGCAGCCGCGTTCATCACCTCCAGTCTGTGCGTCTCCATCAGAGCCATCTGCCCCGCCCGCAGAAATATCTTGGTCTTGCCGATCTGGTGGTGGGGAGGGAGAGTAAGGGAGGGTTGGGGGGGGGAAGGTAGAATAACATGCATTGGTATGAATGCGGGCGACAGCAGTGCAGCGTTCATCACTTCCAGTCTGTGCATTTCCCTCAGAGCCATCTGGCTCGCCCGCAGAAAGATCTTGGTCTTGCCGATCTGGTGGTGGGAAACTGGGGGGGTAACATAGTTACATGCATTGGTGTGAATGCAAGCACCGGCGTTCATTCACCACTTCCATTTAGGCTTGAGCACCTACCCGACCCGACCCGACTAGACATGGTAAAAACGCGATTGCGATTAAAATCGCATCGCGACGGGGGGCGATTTATGAAAAAGCGATGCGATTTTAAATCGCATCGCGCGATCTAATTTGCAGAAAACTAAAATCGAAAATCTTGTTTAGAGAGCGATTTAAACGAAAATCGTGTGCAATGATATTTAAAATAGCGCGATGCAATATTTAATCGCATCGTTTTCCTGGCCAGAATGAAATCGCTCCCCCCAAAAAGGGTTCTTTTTTGTAGATCGCATATTGAATTTATTTCGCTTTTTTCGCATGATAATTTCACACGATAGACACTAGATCGCATCTCGCTTTAATTTGCTCATGTTTAGACCCGACCCAACCCGACTTTGCCTGACCCGAGGTCGGATTCAGGTCGAGTCGAGTCGGGACAAGGTCAGGTCGGCCTTTGCATTTGAGTGACCCGACCCGACCCAACCTGACCCGACCCTGCATTTGAGTAATACAGGTCGGGTACTACCTGACCAGGTTTCGGGTTGGGTCGGGTCGGCATAAGGGCAGGGGCGGGTAATTTGCCGACCCGAGGGGGCGGGTTACATCGGGTCGGGTCATAACCCGACCCGAGGTGTCGAGTCGACTCTCCGAAATGTCGACCCGATCCGGGAAAGAGTCGGGTTCAGGTCGGGTATACCCGACCAGACCCGACCCGTTGCTCAAGCCTAGTTCCAGTCGGTGCATCTTTATTAGGGCCACCTGCCCCGCTCGCAGGAAGAATACCACACGCACACACACAGTGAGACACAGCGTGCAAGGGGCACACAACACACACACACACTCACTCACTCACACACACACATGCACACACACACACACACACACACACACACACACACTCACACAGATACCCTACACCCACCCAGTCCCCCCCCCCCCCCCAATACACACATACACACACAGACAAACACACATGGCAAGGTGCGGCGGTCACCTGGTAGTTCTCCAGCTTGGCATGTCGCAGAATGACCTCCACATAGTCAGGGTCCGACATTCTGGGCGCACGCACATGGGGACGAGCACAGGAGTGGAGTGCGGTACAGGAGTGCAAGGCAAAAGAGGTGGGAAAAGGGAAGCGGCCCGTGTCGCTGTGCTCCAGCTTCGAGAGCTGCAGAAGAGAGGGAGGAGAGGTGGAGGAGAGAGGGAGGAGAGAGGGAGGAGAGGGGGAGGAGAGAGGGAGGAGAGAGGGAGGAGAGAGGGAGGAGAGAGGGAGGAGAGAGGGAGGAGAGAGGGAGGAGAGAGGGAGGAAAGAGGGAGGAGAGAGGGAGGAGAGAGGGATGAGAGAGGGAGGAGAGAGGGAGGAGAGGGGGAGGAGAGGGGGAGGAGAGGGGGAGGAGAGAGGGAGGAGAGGGGGAGGAGAGAGGGAGGCGAGAGGGAGGAGAGAGGGAGGAGAGAGGGAGGAGAGAGGGAGGAGAGTGGGATGAGAGGGGGAGGAGAGAGGGAGGAGAGGGGGAGGAGAGGGGAGGAGAGGGGGAGGAGAGAGGGAGGAGAGGGGGAGGAGAGAGGGAGGAGAGAGGGAGGAGAGGGGGGGAGAGAGGGAGGAGAGGGGGAGGAGAGGGGGAGGAGAGGGGAGGAGAGGGGGAGGAGAGGGGGAGGAGAGAGGGAGGAGGAGAGAGGGAGGAGAGAGGGAGGAGAGGGGGGAGGAGAGGGGGAGGAGAGGGGGAGGAGAGAGGGAGGAGAGAGGGAGGAGAGAGGGAGGAGAGAGGGAGGAGAGAGGGATGAGAGGGGGAGGAGAGAGGGGGAGGAGAGGGGGAGGAGAGAGGGATGAGAGGGGGAGGAGAGAGGGAGGAGAGAGGGAGGAGAGGGGGAGGAGAGAGGGAGGAGAGGGGGGGGAGAGGGGGAGGAGAGGTGGAGGAGAGGGGGAGAGGGGGAGGAGAGGGGGAGGAGAGGGGGAGGAGAGGGGGAGGAGGGGGGGAGGAGAGGGGGAGGAGAGGGGGAGGAGAGGGGGATAAAGAGCAAGGAGAGGAGAATGAATGGGCTGAAGGAGGCGGCAAAAGGACCCGGAACAGAGTGGGTGGGTGGGGCGATGACACTCACTCCTTGTCCAAGAGGGGCAGGACGAGCAGCGAGAATCTACCGATGATACCAAGAAGGTCAAAGAGGCGGCAATCGGTAGATTGCTACTAGGCTGTGATACAAGAACATCGAACTAGCAAGCAAAGACAGGGCGGAAGTGGAAGAGACGCACTCCTTGTCGAAGAGGGAGGGGACGAGCAGCGAGAATCTGTCGATGAAGTCGTCGAAGAGGCGGCGAGTGGGGTAGCCAGCAGAGCACATGCGAATGGCCTCCAACACTCCCTGCATGCATCACAGGGCGATTGGGCAGTCAATTTCAAAAGGGCACTTCATAACATGCATGTTTGGCGAGTGGGGTAGTCTGCTGAGCACATGCGAATGGCCTCCAACATTCCCTGCACACATCACATCACAGGGCGAGTGGGCATTCAACCGCGGGTGAACACTTGTTAACGTGCATATTTGCATTGAGTGGGTGGGTTAGCCCGCAGAGCACATGCGAATGGCCCCCAACACTCCCTGCATGCATGGTGGTGGGTGGGTAGAGCGGTAGGTGGAGTGGGAGATGGACGGTTAGTAGTGGGCAGGCAAACAAACACATGTGCAGCACACAAGTGCATGCGAACAGAGACTATTTTCTAGGCGCCTAAAAAATACAAGCGTGGACAGAAGTGCATGTGAACGGCCTTCACCACTCGCTGCCTGCATTCCAGTGCTTGCGGGACAGTCAATAAGCGTCATGTGATGGGCCGGGTGGTAACGGTAAGTCATGGTGTTCGCGTCAGACAGCACCTGCTCCCTCTTTCCCTGCCCCCTTTCCATTCAACCCTAGTCTTGACTTCTGATCTGAGCCACCCAGTTTTTGAAAGGGCACAAACCTACCCACTCTGTTTTGAACGCGCATCCCATCCACACACCACTCCTGACAGCACTGACTCCTCCACCATGCTCTTTTCAGAAGCGCTCCCCCCCTCGTTTCCCCACTCACCCCCCATCGCAGCTGCTCCACCACCTTGCTCTTCTCGAGCAGCTCTTCCCAACCTTTCCCTGCCACCTTCACATTCACCTCTAACTACTCATACATACCCAGTCCCCCCCTTCTCACTCGCCCCTTCTGCACATACCCAATCCCCCCCTTCTCACTCGCCCCTTCTGCACATACCCAATCCCCCCTTCTCACTCGCCCCTTCTGCACATACCCAATCCCCCCCTTCTCACTCGCCCCTTCTGCACATACCCAATCCCCCCCTTCTCACTCGCCCCTTCTGCACATACCCAATCCCCCCTTCTCACTCGCCCCTTCTGCACATACCCAATCCCCCCCTTCTCACTCGCCCCTTCTGCACATACCCAATCCCCCCCTTCTCACTCGCCCCTTCTGCACATACCCAATCCCCCCCTTCTCACTCGCCCCTTCTGCACATACGTAATCCCCCCCTTCTCACTCGCCCCTTCTGCACATCCCCAATCCCCCCCTTCTCACTCGCCCCTTAACTGTCCATCCTCAATCCCCCGTAATCACGCACTCCTATTGTAGTTCCGTTGCCCCAACACCTTTTGGGGCGCCTCAAAAGTCGTTCCCTTGCCTCACCACCTTGCGCTTCTCGAACAGCGCTGGGAGGCTGTTCCCTCCACTCCACAACACCACAAGCACCTTCCCAAGTGTCTCCTCACCCAATAGCTAGCCACCTGCCCTCTCCCCTCCCCCCCCCCCCCCTCTTCTCCCATCCTCACTCACCCCTGATCGCAGCTGCTCCACCACCATGCTCTTCTCAAACAGTGCTGGGCGGCTCTTGGAGTTGGGCTTGATGCACCGGATGTAGTGCGGTTCTGTGCGGTTCAACGTCTCCATCAGCTGCGCCAGTTGTTGCTGCGGAGTGGCATGGAAACAAGGGCGTGGAGAGACGGAGGGAGAGGGAGAGGAGGGAGGGGGGGGGGGAGAGGGAAAAGGGGGGTGGTGGATTACGGACCACTGGAGAAAACAAATCACAATACACGCCCTATTACCCCGCCTTAAATGGCCACCTGTTTTGAGGCGCCTCAAGACTGCCCAGGTACCTCTTGTAACTCACCTTGAGTGATCGCCCCAGGGACGCAAACTTGGTGGTCGCCTTGCCACCGCTCTTCTGCACCTACCTGGACTCGATTGACCATCCAATCACCCACCTTGAACGACCCGGCCCACGGGCGCAAACTCCGTGGTTGCCTTGCCACTCTTCCCATCCGCCTTAGCCTCCTCTGCAGCGGCCTGGAACAGCGCGGCCACAAAGGGGTTGGTGGACTTCTGCAGCAGCGCCTCGTGCTCTGATACCACGGCGTCCAGGTTCTTGCTGATGAACTCCAAGGTAATGTAGTACTTGTCGTGTCGTGCCCCTGCTTCAACTCATCTCAGGCCACCATGTAGTACCCACCTGGACTCTCTCACCTCAACTGACCGTCCAATCACTCACCTTGAACGATTTGCCAAGCGATGCAAACTTGGTGGTGGCCTTGCCGCTCTTCCCACCCCCCTCCTTAGCCTCCTCCGCAGCAGCCGGGAACAGCGCGGCCACAAACGGATCAGTGGACTTCTGCAGCAGCGCCTCGTGCTCTGATACCACGGCGTCCAGGTTCTTGCTGATGAACTCAAGCGTGCTGTATTTGACACGCCCCGCGTAGTGCTCCAGGGTGAAGTCAGTCACTGAGCCCTTGGACTTGGTGAACCGCTCGTTCTTTAAGAAGGCGTCGTACAGCGACATGGTGAAGGACTCTGGCGTTGACTGGGCTAGCTTGCTGGTGGTGGGGGGGGGGGGGGGGGAGAACAGGGAAAGGGGGGGAGTAGAGGAAGCGGGTAGAGGAAAGGCTGAGGGAGAGAGCCCTTGGACTTGGAGAAGAGCTCGTGCTTGAGGAAGGCGTCGTACAGCGACATAGTGAAGGACTCTGGGGTGGACTGGGCTAGCTTGCTGGGGGGGGGAAGGGGGAGGGGAGGGGAAGTGAGAAGGGCAATGGATGCGGGAGAGGGAGTGAACCACTTGTGCTTGAGGAAGGCATCGTAGAGCAACATGGTAAAGGACTCTAGGGTGGACTGGGCTAGCTTGCAGGCGGGAGGGGCAGGGGGGAGGGGAGAGAGAGAGATGAAAGAAGCAGAAAGAAAGGCGAATTCCCCTTTGCTTTACTTGACCCACCCGTTTCAAGACCTGGTGGGAAAACTGAAAGTTTGCACTTCAATTAACAAGTCTTGCAGAAATGAGGAAAGAGAAGGGTTGCCTTGGTGAGATGTTGGAACACACACAGGGTAGGCGTAGTGTAGGTGGGGGAATGGAACGCGACAGGGAAAATAGAATGTACAGAGTAAGGGTAGGTGGGAGGCAGAATGGACCCCACAGAGAAAGAATAAGTGGGAGAGTGGGACGCACCAGGCTGAGTCGAGCAGAGTCAGGATCCCTTTGTCCTGCAGCAAGAGCAAACAGCAGATGCACGTGACACATAGGGAGGACACATGAGACATGGAGAAGACGCATGAGACATGGTGAAGACGCATGAGACATGGTGAAGACGCATGAATCAGTAACAGCACAGCAGCATTTCACATCCATCTCCCTTTCCTCTCCTCCCTCGTGCTCACCCCTTCTGCTAGCCCCATCATCTCGCCCCTTCCACCAAGTTCAGCACGTCCTGGTTGCCCCTGAAGTTGATGTAGCTCCAGTTGATTATCAGCATTAGCACTATGCCTTGCTTGCTCCCATATCCCGTTCCACATCCCTCCACCCTCTAGTGCATCTCACCCCTCCCACTATCCCAGCATCTCACCCCTTCCACCAGGTCCAGCACGTCCTGGTTGTCCCTGAAGTTGATGTAGCTCCAGTTGATCTCCTCCCGCTCGTACTCCTCCTGCTCCAGCTTCAGCACGTGCTGCAATGAAAGAAAGGAGGAGGGGGGGGGGTTGGGGGGAGAGAGGGGGGTGAATTGGGTAGCTCCAATTGATCTCTTCATTCGTTCTATCCCGCACCAGCTTCAGCACAATATGCTTACTGCGGGCAGACGGAGAGTGCACATTGGTGGGTAAGTCTTGCAACTAACCCAGAGAACATTTCTCAAGTGAAACCTTTTGTTACATGGTTCTAGTATCAGCTTATCAATAGCTGGTTCTTGTGTATAACACTTGTTACCTGGTGAAATTTGAAACTTCTCCGTACCCTCAAAGGTGCAAACCCCTCGTTACCTGGTTGAAATGCTGTTGAAGCTTCTCATTGGCCAGATTGATACAGAACTGCTCAAAGCTGGTGGGAGAGTCAGCACGAAATTGCAGGAATGGGAACAAGGCAGGAGAAGAGAGACATTTACGGTTAAGCCAAGCCACACTCAGGAGGAGGGGAAACAAATCAGGGAGCTAGAGGACAGGCAAAAGGTCAGAGCGGCTGGCGATGAGGCGACAGGTAATGAGTGAGAGGAACAACGGGGCGGGTGGACCGTGGATGTAGAGTAGATAGATCTTCATAGCATACTTGTTGTGCATACTTGTTGTGCATGCTTGCACAATACGGATGCATGATCGACATAATGTGGGGACTCGTCTCATGCATGGTAGAACCACGGGCGGCGGACCTACCTGCGGATGTGCTTGAAGGGCCAAAACTGCACCTGTTGAGCTTGAAGTGCTCGAAGCCATAGATATCGAGCACGCCTATCAGCGCCATGCAGTCGGGGTCCTGCCCAATGGACCGATTTACCTTCTCCACTATCCTGAACGGGGGGGTGGTGGGATGGGAAGACGTGGAGGGGTAAAGTGGGGGAAAGGAAGGCTGTGTGTGGCCATTGGGATCACCTTCTCTCCTATCCGCGCCATGCAGTCGGGGCCCTGCCCGATGGACCGATTCACCTTTTCCACTATCCTATAGGTGTGGGGGGGGAGGGTGGGGGAAGAGAGTAGAGGATGTGGTCTGTGCGTGAGAGAGAGATACGAGCATTGGGGGTCGTGCCCGATGGAGCAATTCACCTTCTCCACTATCCTGAATTTGCGGGGAGAGTGTGTGGGGCGAGAGTGGGGAGGTGCTTGTGATTGTGATTAGAGATGCGGTTCCTTCCTGGCCAATAGACCGATTCATCTTCTCAACCATTCTAATAACGGGGTACAATGGTGGGAAGAGGGGGGGGTGTGGGTGGGGGAGAAGTTTTGTGTGAGAGCGTTGGGGTCCTGCCAATGTAGTGGCGGGATACAATCATCGTACCCACTACATCAGGATAGTGGTGGGACAACATCCCATCACATTCTCCACAATCCTGATGTGGGGTGGGCGGTGAGTCACAGCAAGCATGTGCAAGAAGACGTGTGCATGTGAGGGCCAGTCAGGCCAACTGGCTGAATTAGTTACCCGAGTGAAACATGTAGATTCAACCACCAGTCAAACAGCGGTAGTGACTTGGCGAGGGTGTCTCGCCTCACCATGGGCATGGTACTCGAACCCCACAACACCACATCCCCCACCTTTCAACCAAACCACTACCTTTCAATCAATCAGGAAACCACCAGTCAAAGAGCTTGGAGTAGAGTGTCTTGGCGAGCTTGCCTCTCCTGACCACCGCCCACTTCTCACCCAAACAACTCCCGAGCACTTCAGCTACCCACCAGTCAACCAGCCACCAGTCGGAAAACCGGGCATCCACCAGTCAAAGAGCTTGGAGTAGAGCGTCTTGGCGAGCGCATCCCGCCTCACCACGGCCCCCTTCTCATTAAACAACCTCGAACACTGTCAACCAGGCACCTATGAGTCGATCCAACAACCAGGCACCCACCAGTCGAAGAGCTTGGAGTAGAGCGTCTTGGCGAGCGTGTCTCGCCTCACCACGGCGCCCTTTTCGTCCAGGTAGCTCTTAATGGTCTCGCCGCCCACCTTGCGCTTCACAGTGCACAGGGACTCCTGCAGCTTCTTCTTGTCGCACCTGCATGGAGACGGGTGGGAGGCGGGCATGTGAGGCGGAGGTGTATAAACTCGCTCATCACACCAGCAAGAACAGCTGCTGATGCTGCTGCTGCACAAGCACGCACTGAAGGCATCATGTGGTTATTCTGAGGGGGTTATCACAACATAACAACAGTGACAGAGTCAGCCTGTCACTGACTATCACAATGGTCGACAGACTTACAAGAGCAGGTATGCAACGTTCTCCAGGGCCTCCTCAGATTGTTTGCCAGTCGTCTCGTCATCATGTCGCCCTTCATTAGTATCACACCAATCAGGGTGACCTCAGACTCACGAGAGCAGGTGTGCAGTGTTCTCCAAGGCCTCCTCAGAGTGTTTAGCAATCCTCATCTTGTCGCCCTTCTCCTTGAACTCCACGTTCCCCAGGTGCAGAATGGCCGCCACTATGCCGAATATAGACGCCTGCATGCACGCACACCCAGGAGTTGGTAGGTGGTTGAGGGGAGCGAGTATGGTATGACAAAGAGGGGGAGTGACTAACAACAACTCTTATATTGTCGCGCTTCTCCTTGACCTATGCTGAATATAGACGCCTGCATGCACACCCGTGGAAAAACTCAGACACTCGTTGCCAATCACGCACTCACATGCTGTCAATCACTCTAGTGACAGCGCAACGCATCCAACGCCTCCCTGTGCCTCCCTGTGCCTCCCCAACCCTCACCTGTTCGTCCTCCGCGTGCAAAACCCCTCATCACATCAAAACCCCTCATCACATCCCTGGACCCTGTGTTTTCAAACACGCGCTACCCCCCCATCACACACCCACCTGTTCGTCCTGCGAGATACCGATGACGTCCATGGCGTTGCGCGTGGTGGCATATTCCTCCGCGTTGCTCCTCTTGCCCGCCAGCTCGATGCACTTGCTCTGCTTCAAGTAGTGGAACTTCTCCGCCCTCTCAGGCCCCGCTGGCAGCCGGTACTTCTCTGCTTCCTGAACACGAGAAGAAGTGGAAAAAGGAAGTCAACAGGGAATGAGTGCGCAGCTCAACTCACACCACTTGCTCTGCTCTGCCTCAAGTAGTGCAACTTCTCCGCCCTCTCAGGCCCTGCTGGCAGCCGGTACCTCTTCCTCCTCAGCCTCCTGAGAAAAGGGTAGACGGGCATAGCGCAAGGAATCAAAAGTACAGCAGATAGCAGGGAGGGAGTGGAGGAACTGGGTCCTCAATACCTCACAGAGCAGTTTCTCAAATGTGTCCTTCAACCCACTTCAATCAAATGTGTTCTTAAACCCCCTTCAATTGTGTGATTACACCCACGTCAATCAAATGTGTGCTTACACCCATTTCAATCAAATGTGTGCTTACACCCATTTCAATCAAATGTGTGCTTACACCCATTTCAATCAAATGTGTGCTTACACCCATTTCAATCAAATGTGTGCTTACACCACAGCCATTCTCAATCTCACCTCAGCGGAAGCCCCCGAGCAGAGCTGGTAGAAGCAGTGGTAGTTGCGCTCGGGGTCTGCTATCTGCACCACTCTGGACCGCTCCAGCAGGTACGAGCGGATGGCCGCACCGGACACCCGGCCACTCTTGTCAAAATGGATCTCAATGAACTTGCCAAAGCGACTCGAGTTGTCGTTGCGCACTGTCTTGGCGTTGCCAAAGGCCTCCAGGAGGGGATTGGACTGGTGGGTAAGAGGGGAGCGGGAAGGGAGGGGGCACGTGCTTTCTAAGCCTCCCTCTTGTCAAAATGGATCTCAATAAACTTGCCAAAGCGACTCGAGTCGTCGTTGCACAATGCACACCGTCTGGCGTTGACTAAGGCCTCGGGCAGAGGGTTGGACTGGTGGGTAATATACGTAGACGACCACCAGTCGATCACACTTATATTACCACTTATCATACTGGCGGGGGAAGGGAGAGGGTGTGCGTATCATAAGGCAGGCAGGCCCCATTCTCCCTCTCATATTACCTCTCGTTCCCCTCCATTCCATCCACCCCTTGACTCAACCCCACCCTTGACTTAATCCCACCCCTGGACTCGCCTCCAGCATTTGGCTCCCCTCAGTGGCTTCTGACCGTCCCCCCACACCCCACCCACAGACGCCTTGTCCCCCACACCCCACCCACAGACGCCTTGTCCCCCCACACCCCACCCACAGACGCCTTGTCCCCCCACACCCCACCCACAGACGCCTTGTCCCCCCACACCCCACCCACAGACGCCTTGTCCCCCCACACCCCACCCACAGACGCCTTGTCCCCCCACACCCCACCCACAGACGCCTTGTCCCCCCACACCCCACCCACAGACGCCTTGTCCCCCACACCCCACCCACAGACGCCTTGTCCCCCCACACCCCACCCACAGACGCCTTGTCCCCCCACACCCCACCCACAGACGCCTTGTCCCCCCACACCCCACCCACAGACGCCTTGTCCCCCCACACCCCACCCACAGACGCCTTGTCCCCCCACACCCCACAGGCTCCTTGGCAATTTTCCATCACAGCTTTGTCGCGTCCGACTCGCCCCCTGTTGAGCCTCCGTTCAACACCCCTTTCTTACCTCCAGCACTTGGCTCTCCATGCCCCTGCCCTCAGTGGCTTCAGACCGCCCCCCCACAGACGCCAGGTACTCCATCATTAGCTTCGTTGTCTCCGTCTTGCCCTTCGCTGTTCCTCCCATGTGGTGCCCCTCATTCCCTCCCCCCTCTCACACTTTACCTTGTACCTCTCAACCCACCCCCCTCCTCACCTCCAGCACTTGGCTCTCAATGCTCCGCCCCTCCGTGGCCTCAGACCGCCCCCCCACGGACGCCAGGTACTCCATCACCAGCTTCGTTGTCTCTGTCTTGCCCGCACCGCTCTCCCCGCTGATAAGGATCGACTGGCTGCGCTTGTCGTCCACCATGGCCCTGCAGGGGTGGGGATTAGAAGGCAAGACGCACAATTGAGTGATCAAGTCACAAGACGCATATATCTGCTTATCAGGATCGACTGGCTCCGCTTATCGTCCACCATGGCCCTGGATGGGGGAGGTGGGGACAGTGTTACAAGGCAAAATGACTAGAGACGTATATAATGGGATTGGGATACAAAAGAATCGGAAAAACATAGTTCACATCTTTGCATATCAGAATCGACTGGCTCCATTAAATGTATGTATGCCGCCGCCCTGCGGGGTGGGCGTGAGAGGTCAAGAATAGCATAAATGGAAAGTCAAGGAAGCTTCAATGATAAGCCAGAATAGAAGCAAGAATAGAATCGATGTATATGGAAAGTTCAGATAGCATAAATGGAAGCAAGAATAAGATACAGCGAATCGAATCAGGACATATGCGATCTCAACGAGCCACTGCTAGAGCAGGCACCTGTTCACTCGATCTGCGTGTCCGTCATGACAACTCACTTGAGAGTCGCCTCAAAGGCACCCGTGCCGTGCACTCAATCTACATGTCACGGCGACTCAATTTACTCTCCATTGCATGGTCAAGTTATCTATTTGAGTGTTTTGAGAAGCTTTCACTAATCACGACTTCTGACCAAGTCCCGCCATGCCGGGTGGGGCCACGCTTGACTTGACGCCACCTTCAATCAGCACGTGTTGACTTAACTAAACACCCACCCAATATGTGCTGACTCACTCAGTTTGTGCCAGCGTGCACCATGACCACACATGCACGCACGCGTTATCGAGGTGACTTTTGAGTCGACTCAAAAGTCACTCACTTTGTGCCAGCGTGCACCATGACCTCACATGCACGCACGCGTTATCGAGGTGACTTTTGAGTCGACTCAAAAGTCACTCACTTTGTGCCAGCGTGCACCATGACCTCACATGCACGCACGCGTTATCGAGGTGACTTTTGAGTCGACTCAAAAGTCACTCACTTTGTGCCAGCGTGCACCATGACCTCACATGCATGCGTTATTGGCAATGGCAGACAGATGCGGGCTGAGGCCTCCATTTGCACTCCCCTGTACACGCTATCCGCGTCATTAACTGCACTCCTTACCTCTCTCTGCTCACCTGTACGCGTTATCAGCAATGGCAAACACGTGCGGGCTGAGGTCGCCAAGCTGCGCCCCCCTGTATGCGTCCCGCATCTCCCGGTCGTAGATGCCTGGGATGCGCATGAAGGGGTTGGCTGCTATTAGGATGCTGCCAGTGTACGTCTGAAAGAAAGGGCAATAGGAATTTGGGGGGGAGGGGGGGAGAGGGGAGAAGGGGGAGAGGAGGGGGGATGCGTGTTACCCCCGGTATGCATCCCGCATCTCCCCGTCGTAGATGCCTGGGATGCGCATGAGAATGCTGCCAGTGTACATCTGCAATGGGAGGGACCACAAATGGGAGTGGGAAGGAAGTAAGGAGTTGGCAGGGGAAAGATGGCGAGTATGTGTGTGAGAGTGAGTCCCCCTGTATAAGCCCTCATCTCCGTGTCACGGATGCCTTAGATGCGCATGAAGGGGTTCGCTGCTCTCAGCTGGCCCCGGTATAGGGTTCAGGGTCTAGGGTTTAAGGGTTAAGGATTTATCCGGGGATGATAGTGATAAAATCTGTGACAGCTGGAGAAGCAGTGTTGTATTGTGCCACTGCCACCATCATGTGTGAGGACCGTGCTTACATATGCTGTGCTGCTCGTTGTGTTGATCTGCCTGCCATTTGACCATCACATATGCTGTCTTGTTTGTCTTGCAGACATGCATTGATACCATGGCATGGCATACTAATGTGCCGCTCACATGCTGACTTTTGAGTCAACTCAAAAGTCGTGCATTGATACCATGGCATGGCATAGTAATGTGCCGCTCACATCTGCTTTCCTTTTTCTTCTTTCTGCTCATGTTAAGCTAAATAACAAAAGTACCGGCACTTACATAAATAAGGTTGCGTTGGTAGCGCAGCATGAGGTTGCAGAGCACCCCTGGCTCGTGCAGATATGCCATCTTGACCATGTCGTCCATGATGCCCCCATCCTCCTCCCTTGCGTAGCATGCACTCGCTGCTACTGTCACCTGCATGCATGTGGGGGGACAGAGGGACATGTCAGGCAATGAGGGGGCAGACAGACAGGCGAGGGGCCAAGAGGGTAGAGTAGCAATGAGCACTTGGGGCCATCTTGACCGTGTCGTCCATGATGCCCCCATCCTCCTCCCGTGCATAGCACGCACTCGCTGCTACCGTCACCTGCATGCATGTGGGGGGACAGGGACATGTCATGCCAGGCATGTGAGGGAGGGCGCAGACACACAGTACCCCACACAGCACAGCAGCAGCAGCGCGGTTTAACTCAGCGACATCTCCCATCCAAATCACCACCAATACAGTCAGCAGAATAACCACACAAACACCGCCACCAGGCTCACCTCGCCATTCTTCTTCCCTATCATCCGCACCCTCACCCGCCCGCCCGCTGCTCCGCCCTCCTATCCTTGACCCCCACCACCTCCCCCTCCGCCCATGCGCCTCTAGCTAGCACCACCACACACACACAGCAACACCACACACACACACATCGCCAGACTCACACCTCCAACTCACCACACAGTTTCTACCAGCCTCACCTCCCTCGCCTTTCTTCCTCCCCATAGTCCGCACCACCACCTGCCTCCCCCCTGCCCCTCCCCACCTTTGACCCCCACCACCTCACCCTCCACCCATGCGTCCCAACATCACCACACACATGCCACTAACATCACCACACACATACCACTAACATCACCACACACACACCACCAGCCTCACCTCGCCTTTCTTCTTCCCTATGGTCCGCACCACCACCTGCCCCCCCGCCGCGCCCCCCCCATCCTTGACCCCCACCACCTCGCCCTCCGCCCATGCGTCCTCCTGATCCGGCACCCACACGCGGCTGCCCACCGTGAACACACTGCGCTGCTCCGAGCCCTGTTGGGGTGAGGGGGGCAAGGGGCAAAGAGACAGGGTGAGCACGCAACTCTCCACTCATCCGGCACCCACACGCAGCTGCCCACCGTGAACACACTGCGCTGCTCCGAGCCCTGGGAGTGGGGTGGGATGGGGTGGGGTGGGGTGGGGTGGGGTAGGGAAGGGGGGGAGGGGGGGAGGGGGAGAGCGCTTGAAAACACGAACACGCGCGATCTCTCTCCTCATCCATCCGCCGGCACGGCACGCGCACCCTGCTGGCCATTGCGCCCACGCTGCGCTGCTCCGAACCCTGGGGGCGTCGCCCCGGAAGTGAGGGGGAAGGCAAATGGCGGAGGTGCGCACGTCGAATCATCCTCACCCTTCACCCCTCCTCCCCCCGAAACGTACACACGCGCGCGCGCGCGCGCCGACGCTTACATGCGCGCAGACACACACACACACACAAGTCCACAAAGGTTATGAAAACGGGGGGATAGCGGGAGGGGGGAAGGGAGTGCGGGAGGGGATTTTTCCGCGAGCAAGAGTAACAGGGGGCTGACAACTGGGGAGCTAACGAAGGCTTATTTCTAGTTCCAGTTCGTTTCGTAGGATATTGCGATTCGTTTTAGTTGCAGGTCTCAACAGCGAACTACGCGATGGTGTGCGACGTTGAGCAAGCGCAGAATACACATAGTGGAGGATTGCAAATCAAGCATGCGACTGGCGTCGTATGGTACGAGAGATTAGGGCGCCCAACAGAGTCATGCTAGAGCCAAGGGCGTGCGACAGAGCCATGCTAGAGCCACGGGCGTGGTGGGACGGGCTCGAGCACCTGGATGTACCAAATCAGCAAAGAGGGTGCTTGAAAACAGGAAAACCAGAAACCAGGAGAGGAAGGAGCTTACCATGGTGACCGGGCTCGAGCGGGCTTTTGAGTCGACTCAACAGACACCACGGGTGCTTGAACACAGGAAAACTGGAAAAGTGGAAAAGTGGAAAACCGGGAAGCAAGACAGGGGCTTACCATGGTGGCTAGGCTCGAGCGGCGGCTGCCGATTAGCACTCAAAGACAATCTTTCGGATGCTTCGCGGAACACGCCATGCAGAGACTGCTACAGGGGAAGGTGAATCCTAAGATGCCTCCGACGGAAATCCAAACTCTTGCTTTTCCCCAAACTCCAAGCGCTGGTGCTGGTGCTGGTGCTGGTGCTGGTGCTGGAGTGGGAACTGAACGGACGGACAGCGTGGATTAACTCAACGATCCGATCGTACGGTGACACGGGGTTGAGTGCAGAGATTACAAGCTACGAAACCTCAAGTCCGTGACAGGGAGAGGATGAGGTATCCTGCTTAGCTAGGACAGCCACGAAAATATGATAATGACGGCAGGGGATGTAATGAGGCCGAGGGTTCCGTCGACGAATGTCGGACGAAGAGGTCAAACACGCAGCTACAAGCACGAGCACGCGAAACTTGACCGAAATAGATCCGCACATAAACAACAGAAGCTAGCGCGATACGGCTTGAATCCCAGAGGCCTATTCCTGATCTCTGTCCCAGCAATGCCGTACACGATAGCCGCAAGAATAATGCTTGCAGCAGCAGTTGCGGACATATGATCACCTGCAACGGCAATCTCAAGGTCGGTTCTGAGAGGTACACAGCGGTGCCAGCTCTGCAAGGCGAAAGGTAACACGTTTGCAGAGACTGGAGCAACTGCTGGCAACTGCCCATTTCCCAACCTCCGCCCATCAATCAGATTCCACGGTATTCCCGCTTTTCCTAACCTAAACCGCTCGTTTGTGTAAACCGAGACAATTCCCGGAAATCCCGAACCTAACAGACGCTTTCGTGCCTTCCCATTCGCGGCGCCCCATTCACAAATTATATCTGCCCTCGAACACCCTCCACACCAATCTGCCACCGACAAATCGACGGGCAGCAATTAACACCCAGGACACAGCAGACACCTCCTCCAGTCCAGGACATGCAATTTGGTGGCCTGACTGACCATCCCGAAGCGCTCATACCGAGCCTGGTCGAAGTGTACTAAGAACCACACACCGCGAACAAAACGAGCGTCCACGCTCGGCTCAAACCTAAGTGAAGGGCTCGAGGTCCGTGATTGGCTTTCAAGTTCGGGCTGACTCAGACACTAACAATTGGCTACATTGCTTGCGAGCCCAAAAAAAAACACGAACACCGCGCCAAGAAAACAGCGAACACCGTACACTTCGCTCTGTTGGGCGAAACGACTAATCTAGAACCTACTTGAAATTTGGAATTCGCGTACAAAGTATCCACGTAAATTTGCAATCTTTAGCACTTGAATGTGTGGATGGGAGTCATTGGACCATTTCCTTACGAAGAGGCACCGGGCAGCTTGAAGTCCCTCAAAGCGGACACATTTACACGAACGGACGGGCCCATTGTAGCGCAGATGTAAGCTGTCTTCCAGTACACTCCCTTGGCGCCTGGTGGGCGGTTGGCATCCACAGAGTTCTGTAACACCACAACACCGCATCGCATACATACATAAAGGACTGAGCAGTCACGAAAGTGAGAAAAAAACCATGACATATACGGTAGTACGATGAGTATGAACCACACATCACATCAATTCAGTGTACGTACCGCAATGGCAACGAGGTTGGTGAGGAGGCCTTTGTTGAAAAAGGACACCTTGCGGAATAAACACAAGTCTTCCCTGTCTACACAGATCATTAAGGAGGTCTACTGAACGCATACCTCGACGGTAACATGGTTGGTGAGCAGGTCCTCATTGGAGGAGGACTTGCCAAATAAACACAAAGCTTCCCTGCCTACACAGATGCAGATAATGAAGGGGGTCCACAGCATACATACCGCAACGGCAACGAGGTTGATGAGCAGGTCCTCATTGGAGAAGGAGGCCTTGCCGAAGAGCACGTGCACAATGCCAGTCTTGTCCGCACGGTACTCCACCTTGCCCGCCTTGAAGTCAACCACAGCCTGCAAGGAGCAAGGAGATAAAGGGTTAGGAGAGAACCGGCAGGGGGGGAGGGGAAGAGTGGTAAAGTTGGCTAGAGGGGAAAGATGAGTCTGAGGAATGCCTGAAAGAGAAACCGAACACTTGAATGTAGTCAGAACAGGACGGTGGTGCAATAGAAGCAAAGCACAAACAAGGCCTTGGAGCTGGGCACGAGGCCTTGGAGCTGGGTAGACATAAAAGGCAAAACAGAAAACAAAACAACGCATACCGAGGCAAGGTCGGTAGTGACAGTGCCAGCCTTGGGGTTGGGCATGAGCCCTCGGGGACCCAGCAGGCGACCCAGACGAGCCACCTGAGGGGAAAGAGGGCGGTAGAGGGATAGCAGAGAGGGAAGTACGGGAGAGGGGAGAAGTGGATTTATGAGCCACACCTTGGGGTTGGGCATGAGTTCTCGCAGTCCTAAAAGACAACCCAGAAGAGCCACATGTGTTGGAGAGGGTGAGAGAAGAGAGGGCATGAGGCCTTGGAGCTGGGCACGAGGCCTCGCGGTCACAGCAGGCGACCCAGCCGAGCCAAGTGGGCCGAGGCAGGAGAGGGGAGTGCAGGCAGGAGACAAATGTGGGGATTGCAGGCACAAGAGAGACAGAGGCATGGTGCAGTGGAGGAGGGGGTGGGAGAAGGGAGGGAGGAAGGGGAGGAGCGCGTGCAGGCAAGGAACCAGTTCAGGACAGCTAGCGGGTCATGTTTCCCTTGCCAAGGAAACAGTTAAGGACGGCTAGCGGGTCATGTTTCCGTTGGCAAGGAACCATCCAACGCAGTATCTCTGGGCTGAAGCCCAAATGATCTCGTCAGGCCTCAGCTCAGGCGCCAGCTCAGGTGTCTGGTCAGGTGTCAGATCAGGTATCTGCTCAGAAAGCCACCCGCAATGCGCTCAATACGTAGACATGGTTATTGGGAAACCGCTCAGTCACAGAAAGCACTCACCTTGGGCATCATGTCCAAAGTGGCCACGAGCTTGTCAAACTCCAGAAAGCCGCCCGCAATCCGCTTAATACGGAGAGATAGTTACTGAGGAAATCGGCAGCTAGCACAGACAGCCACAATGACTGACCTTGGGCATCATGTCCGGGGTGGCCACGAGCTTGTCGAACTCCAGAAAGCCGCCCGCAATCCGCTCAATCAGATCCTCCGCGCCCACCACGTCAGCACCCGCCTCCGTCGCCTCCCGCTGCTTCTCTCCTGCGAAAATGGAGGGGCGAAAGGGACGTTAGTGGTGGCGGTGGTGGTGAAGGGGGGGAGGGGGAGGGAGGGGGGTGATGAGAGAAGGGGGACAGGGGCAAAAATGGGGGAGGAGGGAAAAAGGGGGAGGTAGCTGTTGGGGGGAGAGATGGGAGGTGGAAGGAGAATTGGCGCGAGTGGGAGAGGAGCTGGGAGGAAAAAAAAAAAGGGGGGAAATACAGCCAATTCTCAGCTAGTGGTGTGGTGTGATGACACCACTCCACTTTTGAGGCGCCTCAAAAGTCGTCTCCTTATCCGCGGATTTAATACAGGAAGAATTTTGGTTGCTTGGAAGTGTGCACGTAACGTGCAACAACTTTTGGTTCGCGCGAGGTTACCACCTGCAGGTTCCAAGGCTCCCGAGGACAAACCCGAAGAATGACAGGGCACCTAGGTTTTGTCCGCAGTGCTTTGTTGGCTTACTTCTTATCTAGTTGTGGGCCCGGGTAGGATTTCCCCAGAGTAGATCTCGAGGCTTGGGTGTCTTTTTAAGACCCCTCGCTCGGAGGTTTCCTTTTTCATTACCAGCTCATGCACTGATGAAGGTGTTGTGGGTTTGATCCCCACCACCGAAACATGTTTGCTTGTTGATTCAATTCACGGGCCGGTTGAGGAGCTTTTTCGAGTTCACCTATTTTCTGAGGGTACAAGTTTTTTCTAACTGTCAGTTTTTTGCTAACGCGACCTTCCTACGCTGCTGCTACTCTTCCATGACAACTAAAAAAAAGGGGGAAATACAGCCAATTCTCAGCTAGTGGTGTGGTGTGATGACACCACTCCACTTTCATCACGCCGCTCGTTCCTCTTTCTTCATTTCAGGCTAGCGACGCCTCTTTGACCGTTCACTATTGTGACAACGATTTAGGGTTGCGTCACAATAATATACATGTATATGTATGTATATATATATATATATATATATATATATTCAGCAGAGATGAAACGGCGCACGTACCTTGAGTGAGCACAGCAACGCGAACCACCTGACCAGTTCCCTTGGGCAGAGAGACCTGGCAAAGACCGGGAGGTGGGGGGAGGAGGGGAAAGGGGCGAAGAGGAGAAGAGGAGAAGAGGAGGCGGAGAGAAAGTTAGGTGAGGGAAGAGCGCAGCGACGCTAACCACTTGCCCGGTTCCCTTAGGCAGAGATACCTGGTGAGGGCGGGAGGGGGAAGCGGAGACACAAGAAGATGGGCGAGGGGAGAAGCGGACAAGCGGAGGGAAGGGGGACAGACAAGATGGAAGGGGAGAAGAGGGGCAACAAGGAAAGCGAAATGAGAGAGGGGGGAGAAATGAGAGAGGGGAGAAATGAGAGAGGGGAGAAATGAGATAGGGGAGAAATGAGATAGGGGGAGAAATAAGAGGGGAGAAATGAGAGAGGGGAGAAATGAGAGAGGGGAGAAATGAGAGAGGGGAGAAATGAGAGAGGGGGGAGAAATGAGATAGGGGGAGAAATGAGAGGGGGAGAAATGAGAGAGGGGAGAAATGAGGGGAGAAATGAGAGAGGGGGGAGAAATGAGAGAGGGGGGAGAAATGAGATAGGGGGAGAAATGAGAGGGGGAGAAATGAGGGGAGAAATGAGGGGAGAAATGAGAGGGGGAGAAATGAGAGGGGAGAAATGAGAGAGGGGAGAAATGAGGGGAGAAATGAGAGAGGGGGGAGAAATGAGAGAGGGGAGAAATGAGGGGGGAGAAATGAGAGAGGGAGGAGAAATGAGAGAGGGAGGAGAAATGAGAGAGGGGGGGGGAATGAGAGAGGGGGGAAAGAAGGGAGGGAATGGACGAACGAAGGGAGACGTGGGGGCAGGAATGGGAAAGTTTTGAGGCGCCTCAAAACTAGAAGTGGGGGCAGGAATGGGAAAGTTGACAGCTGTGGGGGAGCGAGCGCAGAGACGGCCAAGCGGGGAGAGCGGAAGGAGTGAGAGAACACTGGATGATGGCACTGACACTCTAGGGTGGTTGACGCTAGGTCAAAATCTAAAACCCAGGGTTTAACACAGATCTTGGAGCAATCCTGCTTGCGGCTGATTCTGCTGATGCTGCTGCTGCAGCTGCTGTTGCCGCTACTGCTGATCCTACTGCTGCTGCTACTGCTGCTCCTACTGCCACTCCTCCTGCTGCTACTCCTGTTGCGCCTACTACTGTTCTTACTGCTCCTACTGCTCCTACTGCTCCTGCTGCTGCTGCTACGGCTGCTGCTACTGCTGCGGCTACTGCTCCTACTGCTCCTGCTGCTGCTGCTACGGCTGCTGCTACTGCTGCGGCTACTGCTGCTACTGCTACGGCTGCTGCTGCTCGCCGTGGCGCGCAGCTGCTGGTCGGCGTACTTCGGATCGATGTTGAGCCAGAAGTGCGCCCCGACGGACTCGTGAGATTCCTTGAATCGACTCAAAATCCATCCCCCCTAACAACATCCTCGTTACTCACAGTGGCGCGCAGCTGCTGGTCGGCGTATTTGGGGTCGATGTTGAGCCGGAAGTGCGCCTCGACGGACTCGTCGAACTTGACGGACGCCGTCGCCTTGACGATCTCCAGCGCCTCCACCGGCTCGTACTCGCCATTGCGGTCGCGCAGCTTCTGGATCTCCAAGAAGCGCTTGGACCGGGTCTGCAGAGGGGGGCGGAGGGGGGCGGAGGGGGGGAGGGGGGGGGGGGGGGCGGGGGGGGTTGGGAGGGGGGGGGGGGAGAGTGCGAAGAATGAGGTGCGGTCACCGACGCAGAGGTCGCCTTGACGATCTCCAGCGCCTCCACCGGCCGGAGATCCAGAAGCTGCGCGACCTCGTACTCGCCGTTGCGGTCGCGCAGCTTCTGCATCTCCAGGAACCGCTTGGACCGGGTCTGGGGTGGATGGGTCGTGTGTGAGAGAGGGAGAGGGAGGATGGGGGGGTGAGTGAGAAGCACGTGCAAGAGCGACAGAATTCTCGTACTCGCCGTTGCTGATTTTTGAGTCGACTCGAAAATCACCTGCGATCGCGGAGCTTCTGGACCTCCAAGAAGCGCTTCGACCGAGTCTGTGGGGGAGAGAGGCGGGGAGGAAGAGGGGGGGACGAGGGGAGTGAGGGGAGTGAGGGGAGTGAGGGGAGTGAGGGGAGTGAGGGGAGTGAGGGGAGTGAGGGGAGTGAGGAGAGTGAGGGGAGTGAGGGGAGTGAGGAGAGTGAGGGGAGTGAGGGGAGTGAGGAGAGTGAGGGGAGTGAGGGGAGTGAGGGGAGTGAGGAGAGTGAGGGGAGTGAGGGGAGTGAGGGGAGGATGAGTGTGAGGGGCGTATAAGGACGTATGAGGTGGTAAAACCGTCGCCTGGACGATCTCGGATACAAGCAGGCCTGCTTGTATACCGTCTCGGATACAAGCGTTTCCAAACCCCTGCTCGGATACAAGCGTTTCCAAAGCCCTAGTCGGATACAAGCGGGCATGGATGCACGAAATGGCAGCAAACAGCCCCATCGTCGGACGGAAAGCGCATGACTGCTGCTGGAAAGAAGCAGCGCGTTCAAGAGAAGACTGAAGGAGCCCTCGATAAGGAAATGCGGTGCGTAGAACTTACGCAAAAAAGAAAATGAAGGACCCAGATTCGAGATAGGCAGCGAGTTACGATCCAGCTACCAGAACCGACCTTGAAGTTCCGAGGCCTGCTTCGGGCTGCTGACGACGTTTCGGAAGCACTCAACCGGAACGAGGTGACTTTCGAGTCGCCTCAAAAGTCACCTCGGAAGCAGCTAACCGGAACTTTGGGTAGGCCAGACGAGAAACCCTAATTTTAGTCCGCCTCCCACTTGGTCCTTCCTGCATACCAGCGCCGCCTTCTTCCCAATGCTGGAATCTGCAGCACGCAAACCATTCGGGCTACACCAGCATTCAGGCCAGACCTGAACACCACTAGTCAGCCACGCGAAACCCTAGCACTGGACATGCTCCACAAGAGGCCTTCACCTGGTCCCCCGTCTTGGCCCTCACCGGCGAAGCCCTACGGCTACTGGCTAAACCTAGAAATCGTCGGACAGCCAAAAGAAACCCGAAGCCGGCTGCGCCGCGCACCTGGTCCCTCTTGAACACGAGCGGCATTCATCCCCGTTTTGATCTTCACCGATGAAGCAATACGTAATACGTGCTGCCTAAAGCTAAAAAGGCTTCTATACAGCCAGACGAAACCCTAAGGCGACTGCTCCGCGCACCTGGTCCCTCTTAAACACGAGCGCCTTCTTCCCCGTCTTGGCCTTCACGGGAGCCACGTCAGCCTCCTCCTCTTCCCCCGCATCCTCCGCGCCCTCCACGGACGGGAACAGCTCCGCCACCGCTTGCACGCGCGCAGCTACCGCGGATCGCTCCGCCGCCGCGACTCGTCGACCGCTAAGGACGCGGCTCGAGCGGAGACTAATCTGCGGGCAGACGAAGGAGGAGGCGGGGATGGTCGCGCGCGACGGCGCCGCGAGCGCGGCGTCGAGGCGGAGAGATTGGAGCATGGGGGTAGCTTCGATGGCGGCCATGGTTTCAGGCGGCAAGGAATTCGAATGGTGCTTCGCTCTCTTGCTGGTCTAAGACCACGCCTGCCTACTTTCCGAAGGACAGTAGTAACTACTGCACGAAGAGGACAGATTGAGAGAAACGCGCGGGGAGAAACCGAGGGGGAGAGGTAAGGGAAGGAGGGAAGAAAGGAGAAGTGATAGAGGAGAGGGAGAAAGGTCACGACCACACTGGTGTGGAGAGAATTAGTGCTGACTACCACGCTCTAACGTACTTAACCGTTCTCTTAAATTCCTACACCGCCCAGCACCCTGTTTCTCGGTTCTTCTCTGCAACTGGTGAGAGCAAGCCGCAAGCATGGGGATTGCGGAGGGCTTCCGGGGAAAGGGGGAAAGAGGCGTGGGGGAAACCCGAGAATGGGGAGTGCGGGGAGGACTATCACACTGCAACACGAGGATGGTGCGGAGCGGGAGGAGGAAGCGCTGGTGAGGTTGCGGAGTGAAGGTCATATATTTGAGAGTTAGGAGGGGGGGGGAGCGCGGGGTGTGGGGGGAAGCGCAGCGGAGATTTGGGGGAAGGATAGAGTGGATTGGTTTGGGCTGTGCTGATTGCTGATGTGGCAGAGCGAGGAGCTGGTGTTGCGGGATTTTTAGGACGTGGCAGGAATGAGAGACATTGGGACGTGGCCGCGATTGGCCCAATGGAAAAGCCGTCTTCGATACAAGCGAACTCTGGATCTCCATGATCGCGTACTAACGGATTCCCAAAGCAGTGTAATCGTCGATACCCGTCTTAAGACGCAACAAATTTAATTAACCCAAATCAATTTGTTGTCATAAGCAATGCAAACCAGCTCGCCTGGGCTTTGAGAAGCTCGCGATTAAAAATTACATGGCAGTAAAAATGAATTAATGTGTTTGTATAACATCAGCTCACTCAACATCCTGAGAATGTACCGGTATGCTTGAGCCAGCCAGATGCACTAGGTATTCTACTAGAGCTCTTATTATCGAGTGCAGTTCCCGCGAGATGCGAGCCTGCAAGTGCCTTTCTGTTTCCACTTTACCGGCCTTGGTGAATTGCACCAGAAGGTCCACGTATGGAGTCTGTACGGAGAATGGAGAACGCCGATACGACATCTGACAAGCCACCCTCGCATGCCCCTCCATCCACTTCCATCCTTACACTCCTGCTAGTCACCTTGGCCTTTCCAATAACTCCTGTTCCTTTTTCACCAAATCCTGTGCGGACAGCTGGCAGCACGTTCCCTGTGCTTGAATACACAGCCACAGGTTCGGGAGCTGCAGTTCGGTCGAGAGTGACAGCAGGGGACAGCCGAGCCCGGAACTCAGCTATGGTGCCTACATTGCTGGCAGCTCCGGTGCTGCCGACACCGCCAATCATCCCGTGCCTCTGCCAAGGCTGATGGGCATGAGGATGGCGATTCTGCTGCTGCGGCTGATCCCCCTCCTGCTGGTTCGAGTGTGTCTGCAGCACTGCAGCGGCTGCTGCGCTAAGCACTGCGCTATTGTATCCTGACAGACTTCCTGCTGCTTCTAACTGTGCCTTCTCCTGCTCCTCTCCAGCCTCAAACTCTCCTTCCTCCACCTCCTCCTCCTCCTCCTCTTCCTCCTCCTCTTGCCCACCACTCCCATCCACGGCCATATCTGTTCCCCCACAACTGCCCGCCGCCGTCCCTGCAGCAGCAGCTGCACTGTTCACAACCACTTGCGACTTTCGTATCTTCCTCTTGGGGGAGAAGAACGTGAACGGGCTGCTCAGGCCAGACGGCCTGGCTCGGAAAAACGTCGTAGATGCCGAGCCTGATGCCCCCGAACCTGGCACTCCCGAACCTGAAACCCCCGAACCTGCAGCGTTCTTCCTTGCTTTGGCTGCCGGAGCGGCTCCCAAGGAAAAGAGTGAAGCGAGCTTGCTGGTAGCACTGGCCATGGCGCCACCCGCCGACCCAAAAGACCCGCTAGTTGCAGCGTTACTTGCACCCGCACCAGCACCTACACCAGCACCAGCAGCAGTGGCAGCACAGGGTGCAGCAGCAGGCGGGGCATGGGCTTCTCTCCTTCTGCTAGAAGTGACTCGGAACACCCCTGTGCGGTTCTTGCGCGCTCTAGAGGCGCGCATCAGAGGCTCAATGGGGCCTTCAGCATCCGCAGCATCCGCAGGACAGGCGGAGGTAGGCTCATGTGAGGTAGGCTGGTGTGAGAGAGATGCTGCTGCTGCTGCTGCAGCAGCTGGCAGGGCAGCTGGAGACGGATTATGAACAGACATGTGAGGAACGGACGGAGGTGCTGGTGACGGTTCTGCTGTTGCCGCATGTGTGCCCGCCACTGGTACTCCTACTGCTGGTGCTCTTGCCGCTTCTGCAGCAAATGAACCAGGATAGTATGGCCCAGCGGAAGGTGGCACAGGGGAATGGCTGTGGCACTGCAGCACAGCCGCAGCAGCCTGCTCTGCACTATCAGCGGCTATGGCTCCCATGCTACCACCACCCACAGCAGGCATTGATGGTGCTGGGGCCGTTGCAGCTGCCGAGGCTGGTTCCCAACCTGTTGCCGAAGCTGTAATCGAAGCTGCTGCCGGAGCGAGCTGCGATGGTGGAGGCATGGGCTTGACGGAGGAAGGCCGGATAGTGATGGCTGCTGGGATGGGCGCGCTAGATATGGGTGATGAAGCGAGGACACCAGCTGTGCTGTGGGTTGTTGGCACTGCGTTTCCACTTGCGAGGCGAGCTGTGGCAGCTGCGGGCAAGACGATCAGAGTAGGTGCGGCAGACTGCGCAGGGGGGCAAGCAGATTGAGAAAGCGGGGCATGAGAAAACGAGGTAGATGTGGCCATGCTGGCTGGGCCAGAAGAGGGGGGAGGAGCAAGAGAGGGATGGGGAGAGGGCAGGGCGGCAGAATGGGGGAGGGTGAAGGGGGTGGGGCAGGAGGCAGCAGAGGAAGCGGATGAGATGGTGGGAGAATGTGCAGGGGATGAGCTCGGCCGATGGTTCTGTCTCTGCTGCTGCTCTTGCTTCTGCTGCTGCTGCTGCTGCTGCTGCTGCTGCTTCAGCTTGTGTGAATAGGTATCCACGTGCATGTGCACATCCTCAGCGCCTACTCTTTTCCCACCAGCACCATTGGCTGCTGCACCAGCAGTTCCCTTAGCAGACGGAACGTTTGCCCGAGTGCGGCTAGGCAGTAGCGGCGTGGTTGGCGTGCCAGGCACCTTCACTGAATGAGCGCCAGCAGCAGCAGCACCTCTAGCAGCAGCACGGGTAGCGGCAGCAGCTGAAGCCCTGGCAGCAGCCACCTGAGCAGTTGCAGGTCTAGTTTTGGACGGATAGCGCGGGGAGGTTGCCGAGGCTTTCACCGCAGCACCAAAAGCAGCAGCACCAGAAGCAGCAGCACCAGCAGCAGCAGTGGCAGTAGCAGTGGCGCGGGTGGCTGGGGAGGCTGGTCGCTTGGCTGGTGATGGCGCTCGGCGGATTGGCGAGGGCTGGCGACGAACGGGAGATGGTAACCTACGGGCAGTAGCAGAAACAGCAGCAGGAGGAGGAGCAGCACCAGCAGCAGCAGGAGCAGCAGCAGGAGCAGCCGAAGGAAGACCAGACGGGACAGTAGCAGCAGCAACCGCAGCAGCACGAGAAGCAGGGGGAGGCATAGCTGCAGCTGCTGCTGCTGCTGCTGCTGCTGCAGGGTTGAGATTTGAGCCAGCAGGGTTGTTTGGATAGACGGTGGCAGGCTCGGACAGTGACAGAGGAATGGACGGTGCAGATGGGCTGCAGTGCTTCAGGATCCACGGATGCTGCAGCGCCACGTCAGCGCTAATTCGACGAGGAGGATCAATCGTGAGCAACCGATGGACCAGATCCTTCGCCTCCGCGCTGATCGACGGCCACGGATCGCTGACATAATCTGGGCGCCCCCTCAAGATACGGACGAATAGTTCTTCATCCGAGTTACCCCAAAATGGCATGTAACCGGAGAGTGCTGTAAAGAGGATAACTCCAAGACCCCATAAGTCAATCGCCAAACCATAGGGCTTCCTGCACACCACTTCTGGCGCCATATACACGTTGCTCCCATGCATCCCCACTGCTTGCTGCCCCGTTTTAAGCACAACAGACAGCCCAAAATCCGCAAGCTTTATACGCAAGGTGCTCCCCACTCCTTCCGCTCTGTCCTCCGCTTCTTCCTCCCCCCCCGACCCTGCTCCGTGCCCTCCTCCGCCCCTGCTGCTGGCGGTGCTGGCGCTACCTAGCGACATAATCGTGCTGCTGGGTGTACTGCTGACTACACTCGTACTGAATGTGCTTGTAGAGGGGCTGGGAGAGGCAGAGTAACCGCCACCTGCACACGCTACAGTGCTGCTCGCAGAGCCCCCTTCTGTAATCACGTCTTGCATAATCACTTCTTCCGCAGCGCCACCCGATGTTGGTACTGTAGCGACCGTTCCGCCCCCCGATTTCGTATCTGTTCCTGTAGCCGGCGCATCCGCTTCGATTAGCGTCACCTGCCCGTCTTGTACTGTTACCGGGTTTGCCAATAAGATGTTTTCCGGCTTGATGTCGCGATGCAGGATGCCGTTGCGATGGCTGTGACTCAGTGCCTTCAGGATTTGGCTGCAAGAGAAAGTGATTCAAGCGGGTGGAAGAGGAGAACGGATCAGATTGATTCACCTGCGAAACGGACGGTGTACAAAGTCCGAACACTCCGAGAGCGAAGACGAAAACGAAGAGTACGAAACGGAGGTGAATCGCGTTGTAACCTAGAAAAAACAGACACTGCTGCGAAGGAAAACACCAACTGAGGCGCCGGTTCGTCACAGAGCACCAATTCTCTGAAATTGACATAAAATATTGGAAATCGGCCATCATCGCAGATGTTGAACCATCAAGAAGCGAGCCTACCTCGCAAGCTGTGCGGCAATCGGTTCAGGCAGCGTGGTGGCAGCCGTAAGAAGGTCGTATAGATCCCCGCCCGTGCAGAGCTCCATGACCACGTGCACGGCGTCGTCGTCCTCGTACACCGCTAGCAGCCGCACCACGTGCGCGTGCCCCGACAGGCGCTTCATCGCCGCCACCTCCGCACGCAGCTCCTCCACTAAGTCCGGACGCTGGGGGAAGGAGAAGGCGGCGGGGAAGGGGGGGAGGGGGGAAGGAGAGATTGGAACTAAGCCCGCTTCATCGCCGCCACCTCCGCGCGCAGCTCCTCCACTAAGTCCGGACGCTGGGGGAAGGAGAAGGTGGCGGGGAAGGGGGGAAGGAGAGATTGGAACTAAGCCCGCTTCATCGCCGCCACCTCCGCGCGCAACTCCTCCACCAGATCCGGGCGCTGGTTGGAGAAGTTTGGGGGGGGGAGGGGGGAAGGGGAGGGAGAAGGGAGGAAGAACAATTTTAACAAAGCTCGCTTCATCACCGCGACTTGCGTTCGCAACTCCTCCACTAAGGCCGGATGCTGGGGAGAACGCGGAAAACTTGAGGGGAATCAGGGGAAGTTGAGAAAAAGCGGAAATTGGGGAACAAATGAGAGTGGAAATGGGTGGATGGGATGAGCGGCTGAGCGTGCTCGGTGTGTACCGGAAAGATCGGACGGTTCTAAAGAGCGGCGGGAAGTGCGAAACGGGATCTCAGTACAGTCGATTGGGAGAAATACACGTTTGGCGGGAAGAATACAGGCTGGTACCTGAAGCTTCGTTTTGGGGATCGTCTTGCAGGCCGCAACAGGTTGGCCGGTCAATGGGTCCAGGCATTCACGCACCACGCCGCCGCCGCCCTTCCCCAGCTCCCGCCCGAGCGTGTACGCTCGCCGGATGTCCCCCCGCCCCATGCGCGGAAACACATGCGGAGCGCCGATCTGGCGCGCGGGTTCCGCCTGCCCGTTCACAAGGCTTCCGCGGGCCATTCCGGGTCCTGATACCCCTCGGCCGACCGTCTTCGCCTCACCTCGACCTATACTACCGGCACTGCCGCGACCCCGACCGGCACACGTGTCCATCGCTGCTCCTCTCCCAACGCCCCGTCCGCGGCCAGCTGGTAAACCCGCTGTCGGGTTGGATGATTCTGCCAGTTTTGATGCTTCCGCCATGGTTGATTCTCGAGTGCTGGCTCCCCCTCGAGTGCTGGTTGGTTTTCCGCCTCCGCATGCTGCCGGCTTTGACGCTCCTCTGTCGTTTCGCGAGTGTCCAGGCATCCATCGCGTGGCCATGGATTTTGAGTTTCCTCCTATGCCGTTGGTCTTTCAAACGTGGGGAGCCCACGCACCCACCCAAGCGCTGACGTCAGCGGCTCCCAGCGATGAAACGACGATGGACGAATCGAGCCGATCGCTTGAGGTTGTTAGCCCCTGAGGATGTCGTTCGTTGCAGATGAAGGCGACGAACTGCAGAGTACGGATATGTGTTTCGGTGATTCTGCGTTGAAGGTTTTGGCTGAGAATTGAAGGGGCTGCACGGTTGAGACATCAGCCGGGGAGAAAATCTCGGGTCGAAGCCATTTTCAGCTCTGGTCTGCGGCTCACGAAAACGAGGTAAGCTTACAACTGGTAAGATGAAGGATTGCTGCTTTCAGTCGAGAGGCTGGGAAAAACACTATTCCCAGGTGAGAGTGAAGGATGGATTTGGGATGGGAAAGTATGTTAACATGGGCGACGAGAGGTGCCAAGGGAAAATTAATGGGCGACGAGAGGTGAAAGGGTGATATGAGGCATGGCGGGATCACGGGAAGGATGAGGGGTGGGTGGAAGATAGGAAGTTGGCTTGGGTGGGGGGGAAAATGGTGATGGATGGGAGTGACCTGCCAGATTCCTGTTTGGTGGGGCCCTGCATCTGCATGTGGTCTGATTGAATGGCCTCGATTGATCGCTCGCTTTCGATGACCTACGGTTTCCTTCCATGCGATGAAGTCCTTCTGTGCGAGAATATCTTTTCCAGCTCAGCGTCGCTGCTCTCCGTCGATGTCTGCCAACCATCTGACAGTGACGGTCGATTCGCCTCTGTTCAGGATCAGCCGTCGCATGACCTCCGAACAATTTATTCGTATGCGGTGGAAATTGTTCCTCAGATCTCGAAGCGCCGCCGCCTTGCCATCCATCCGCCAAAACCCTTCGCACATTGGTCAAAGCGACTGCTCTAGCCGCTGATAGACCCGCGAAGATAGGGTTTCGAATTTGAACTGCTTCCCCCCCCTTCCTGTTTTCAAACATCGCCGCGCAATTACAGGGGTTTCAGGATTTGCCATGCCATGCTATGGCATGGCATCCCATCCCACGCCACTGCCCGTTCACCTCCCTCCCTCCCAGCTCCATGGAAGCACCATCCAGAACTTGCGCTCAAAATCACGGAGGCTGACACAAACGAATCAGGGTCGGCTGAGTCTGCCAGGGTGAGAATGCATTGTGTCAGCAAATTTCTGAACTGTGCCTCAGATTTTGCGCACTTGCACTAAGATCCAGGAAACCCGCCTGTTTTGAATCAAATTGTACGAACTCTCCGCTAATAGCATGTCGTTCATGCTCTGGTTTCTAAAAGCAATCACATCGTCAACACAATCCTATAGTACAACAAGAGACTGATTTCATTTCACCTATAGCGGGCATGTCCTACTGATTCAAGTTTTGCCAAGTTCTAGTGCAATTTCAAGCACATGTAAGATCACCCTGCTAAACACCTGGGGGGGGGGGGGGGGAGGGTGGGGGAGGGTGGGGAGGTATATTACAGTTCCTATATGCCACTTAGCATGTGTATACAATGGGATCATAGTAGCTGTTACGATATGAGTGTAAAACTAAGAGAAATAAGAGTTGTCTTAGCGAAGATAATTACACAATTGGCAACATCAAAACAAGCCCAATACTGGGCACGAAGCAAATAGGTGAGCTCGGCAGAGCTTGGAACATGTGGCGGGAATGTGGGCTCTGAGCGGACGGGATGAGCACAAAATGTGAAAGGCGCGAATGTGCACGTGGCACGGGATAGGCAACATTTGGTAACGCTATAGGTGGCGACGATGTTAACATGGCTGCCGATATGCGCGCCGGATTAGATCTCCCTACGACGTCCCTAGCCGCTGTTCCTAGTGAGCCGTTGTGTGCACCAAACACGCAGGCTTAAAGGGAAAAACCAATTGCAAGGGCAAAGGCACTACCGATGTGCAGGTGCAAGCATTCAAGAAGCATGCTGCAACTACCAGGCACCAGCTCGCCCTCGCCAAACAAGTCTGCTTGCTTCAGCAGAGCACCTCTCAGCAGCGCATCGACCAGCATCCACTCGTGCAAGATCCCGAGAGGCTCCACGCCACGTCCCTCCTCAACGTACTGTACTACTGCAGCCGCTGCAACAAGACGATGAAGATCTGGATTCGAATCGTGGGCTTCCTCTCTTTGATGAAGTTCTATGGATTTCCAGAGCAAGGCTACGGGACCTACATGGGTACTAAAACGTATAAGTAGACGCATTGTCTACTTTGATTGCGGGTACTTCACTCTTTGACTCATACTGCAGCACTTACAGTAGTATTGTTGTTTCTTGTTTGGCAAGTACGGTTTCGGCCAGTCCATGCAGTCGCTAGCAACCTGGCTTCCCCATCTCGACCATTTTCTTTCAAGCCCCTTCTTCGACATCAGTCTAGAAGAGAGAACCGACTTACGCTGTGGCAAATACATGATTGTGTTTGTTACGTTCATCTCGGAGAACCGCCATGTCACAGAGCTGCTAGCACACATGAGTGTTGACAAGGCTGATGTTTCGTCGCTCCTTGCATTGCTCCTCTTCCACCTTCAGGCCGTCGCATGCTTGCTGGAATCACCACTGACGGTGCTACGGTCATGCTCGGCTTACGGGGTGGACTTGCTGCTCGGTTGAGAGTGCGTGTCCCTCGTCTGGTCTTATGCCACTGCATCTTGCATATGTGGGGTTTTGCTTTGTGCATTGGTTTGTCTATCATTTTGTATGTAGTATGCAATGGTTTTGCTTTACAAAACCAACAACCATGAGCTATGGCGTGTGTGCAGGGAGGCCCTGGCGGCCAAGGATGTCGCCGAATCCCATCCCGCTTTCGGGATGGTCGACGACTTCATCAAAGTCATTGCTAAGTTACTTGGCCATTCCGGCCATTGGCACCAGCGATTCCTCGATCTCCAGGAGCTATTCACTGACACTTACCTAGTTTTGCATGACATTTATGGTATTATGTGGCTCTCACGCAGTAAGGCCATCCTCCGGCTCCTCGCTGTGCTTCCTGCCATTGTTGTCATGGTTTATGAGATCCGGAGTACTAAGTCATTAGCTTTGTTCAAAACTTACAGTTTCTGGTTCTTCTTGCATTTCCTGGCGGATGTGCTTCAGTAGCTCAACATACTGTACAGGACATTCCAATCCGCCAAGGTTAGTTTGGAGCTCCCCATCCACTCGCTGCGCTGTATCCGATTCCTTGGGGTAAGTCTAGATCGTGTGCCACCATCGCAGGGCCACGCAACAGTGACATGGCATATCTGATATGTGCACTATCGTTAATGACGAGGTTCACGTCGAAAAACCATTTCATGCTGAGCAGACAGACTATGACGCACGACGAACCTTAGACTCTTGTGTCGAAGCAGGGTGGCCACTGCAACTTCAATAAAATTGTAGCATCGCCTATGCTGGCCAGATTTAGCAATACGACTCGGCCGTGCTCCTCGTGTCGTACTGCAGGCGTATTGAAAGGTGTATCCGCTCATCGTCCTTCACCGAGTACTGCGGAACCTGCCAATGTAGTTTCCTCTTGAATAGTCATGCCAGCTATTTGTGCGTCGAAAAAACTTTGAACACATCCCGGTCAGCACGCATGGCACCCAGTTGTTCATCCAGTGTAGTAACTTCCTCCAGCGTAACGTTAATGTACTGATATACTATATGACTCTAGGTTCATAAATCATACACTAATGAATTTGGGGATGAGGTCTTATAAGGAAATATGGAAATACATCACCCGGGTTATATCTCGTATACATGTTGAATTCAATTTGCAGCGTGTAATTTTGTTCCTCGTTCGCATTCCTTCCTTATTGTCGAGTATTCAGGCCCACACTGCGCTTTCCTTGCCCAAAATTCAGGCTCTCAATATATGTGCATTCTGATTGGTTCATTCTCGTGCTAGCTAAACACAGTGAGCATTTGATGTGGCGGGAAAATGTATCAAGAGCGATCGGAATTGTCACAAAGTCAAACGACGGTCAACATTTTTAGTCTCCAGGTTTGAGATTGTAAGAACATGCTTGACTTTGTCCTGATAGGGTGGAAGTTGCCAACTTGGCAAAACTCCAACCCATCCTATGCTTTTGGTATTGACAAGAGAAATGCCATGAAGGAGCTCCGGTACTTTGTCCCCATGCTCGCCCGCCTGCCCCGAGTTGACAGGAAGTTTCACGTCGCTCCGAGTGTCGTTTTGAATACAGCCAGCTGGAAGTACCATTACCCCAACCACGTCGGGTTGTGGGTGGCAGTTGCGGTTCTCCCGCTTGGTACCGTGGAGTGTGATTGTGGATTGTTGTCAACGGGGGAGTCTCAAGGATACAAGGCTCGAGGACCTGATGGTCATGTCCATGCTGGACTATGACCCTGACTCGGACGCAGTCTTGGAGATTTGGCAGGCCTATAAGAAGAGAAGGCCCTTCAACACACCCCAGGCCCCTAGGCAAAGCAAGAAATGAATTGAACAGAAGTGATCCAATATAGTCCGTAGGATCTTCAGGATTGAACTTTAGTAGTGCGCTTGGCGGAAGCGATTGATTGGTCCAGAACTCTGTCAGAGTGAATGTAACTTAACAGAGTTTATTATAGCAAAGATACAGGGTACATACTGTATAGTGATACGAGAGAATGCGAAGGGTCTAACCAAGATGCACTTATCAGGGGTACATTCCCTTAAGGTTCTAGATCCGACTCGGGTAGCCGTTCACGACTCGGGTAACTGCCCACGTTGTACTACAGGGCCAGTTATGTGTCCTTGCTGTTGTGACATCCCCTTGAACTTCTGTCTGCTCGATTGTCGGTCAACGGTCAACGGCCGTTGCACTTCGTGATTCGCCACAGACGCGTACTCGACAAGGGGTTACGGCTCGAGTGTCACTCTCAAGAATGTAAGTAATTCCTTATCATAATACTCCCCTTTATTGCTGAAGGTACTCGAGTTTGGCGCACTTGGAGATTCCACAGAGCTCAGCGCAGTGCTGGTACTGTTGTCGTGGAAACTTCATAGTGAGGAAGTCAACTACCATGTCACCAGCAGGACAGTACGTCAGGTCCACTTTCCCTTTGTCGATTTTGTCCTTGACGAAGAAGTATCACAGAGCCATGTGCTGTGCAATTGACGAACCCGGGCTTCTTGGCGATCTTGATTGCACTCTGGTTGTCGCAGTATAACTTGAATGTTGGCAAAGTGTTGAGCTTTGTATCTTACAACAGTTCTTGGAGGTAGAGTCCTTAGCGAACAACGGATGTTGCTGCAATGTATTCTGCTTCAGTTGACGAGAGAGCAATCAACTCTTAATTCTATGAGTTCTAGGAGATGGGTCCAGTAGGTTCCAGTCGAAATGAAATATAGGAGAGCTCGCTATAGGTCTGGGAGGTTCTCCCCTTTAGGTCACCGAGAGTATTGGGTGAGCTGGCTGACGATGTAGGACAGGTTGGGCCGGCATGTGACGGCGGCGAACA